ACTATGTGTCGGGGTGGTTACATATATAGCTGGTATTTAATTAATTAGGTCTACTAATAATGATAAGGGATACTTTGGATGCGGTTCATAATCTTTAATATTCTTTGATTAAAATCTTAATAGTATTCAAAGTTTGATCAAGGTCTCTTGACTTTGTACACCTCTTTATATTACTATTAATATTTATATTTTTATAGTTTTGACATTAATTGTTTGATACTTTATGAAATTTATAATCCTATAAATTTAAAATCACTCATTATAATACTATTAGAAACGGTTACAATAAAAAAATTCAAACATTTTGATTGAATAAATGGATAAAAACTATGTAAAAATAAGAAAAATAAATGGCAAAAGAATGTATCCATAGTGTTAAAAAAATTGGTACATTTCACATATAACAAAGTGGTACATTAATAAAGAAGAATGGGTACATTATCAATAAATTAGGGTATAGATAAAAGATTAAAAATTATGAGTACAAATGAATTTTTAAAAATATAGGCGCTAAAAGAAATTAATACATAGGTACAAAATAAAACTAAAAAGAAAATACTACAAATTAAAAAAAATGTTGCAAATTAAAAGTGGGTACAAACTAAAAATATAAATATATGATACAAAGTTTAGGCATAAAACATAAATATACCATATGTGATTTTTCTATCATTGATTAAATTTACAAGGTCATGTGACGGTATACACATGGGTACAAGTACAAATAAAACTTTAAAAAATATGGGCACAAAAAGAAACTAATACATGGGTACAAATTAAAAATGAAAAGAAAATTGGTACAAATTAAAAAATATTTGCAAATTAAAAATAGGTGCAAACTAAAAATAAAAATATATGATAAAAAAATTTAGGCATAAATATAAATATACTAATTGTAACATTTTTAACACTAAAGGAATATATTTAAAAATAAAAATATTTTATTATTCAAATAATTAATGATGTTATTAATACTCAAGGACCTTGATCAAAAATTCAAAATGAATAGGATTTTAATCAATGGAGTAACAAAAAGGAGTGAACCTAATTTTCCCTAATGATAATCACCTTAAACAGGCTAGTGTTTCGCTATGGTAGTCCACCTTAAACAGGGTAGGCGCTTTTTTTTTTTTTTTTTTTTTTATTAAATAAGACTAGTTGGTGGTTTCGTCATGTAGTCCACCCCTTCAAGAATCGGGAAGACTCACATAGGCATTTAGCTAGTAGACTTATTTATTACTAAAGTATCTATATTACAATTGAATTAGATCATCAAACAAAAGAAATCATTTTTACTTGTCTACGAATTACATTCCGCATAAACTTATTATAAATACAAAGAATTTTTTTGCTTGTATTTCAAAGTGCAATCGTTTTATAAGGAAAAATAGTTATTTACACGTAAGGAATCAAATATTTTTCAATATATACTAGGTAAGATATCTGAGAATATAGGTTAAAATATCTGGATTTTATAAAAAGGAAAATGATCCTTGCCGGATCCTTTTTTTGGGGATCCGAGGGATTCCGTGATCATGTCCGTTCATCGTACATTGTGCGGTCAGTTTTCGTTAAGTACTATTTATATTTAATTTTAATTTTTAAATTTCAAATGATTTCTGATTGCAAGATGTACGATGAATGGACACAATCACGAAATCCCCAAATCCCCAATAAAAGAATCTGATGAGGATCATTTTCCTTATAAAAATACCATGCTAAAATGAATTGTTAATGATATTATTTCTTCTATAGTAATTATGTTTCAAATCCCAAGGTGACACAGGAACAGCTCATATAAAATATTGGGTTAATCTCAGTTTATTACCCTGAAGTTTCGTGGTTTCCAACATTTGGTACATGAAGGTTTTTTTCATCCTAGAGTCATACCTCAATTCTTAATTTTGGGACAATTTTATACATCCGTTAAGTTTTCTGTTAGAATTTCTGTTAACTGATGACGTAGCACCCATGTGGACAATAATTGAGTGTCAGGTGTTAATATGGGCATACTTCAATATCAACAAATTAAAAAATTACAAAAAAAAAAAAAAAACCCGCCCGTCCCTTTTCCTCGATCCCTCCTTCTTCTCTTTCCTGATCCCTCCCACTCCTTCATCTTCACATCTCTCTCCCCAGGCACAGTCGATTGGAGCCATAATTTCTCACTTTCACCAAAGCTCAGTGGGATTCCTTAACCTTTTTGGCTCTATGTTATCCAAAGACGTGTCGATAAAGTTGTTATGGCGGTGCCTCGGCCTCATGCTCATTTCTCCACCAAACCCGCTGCCTCCTTCCATCTGCATGGAACGGTGGTAGGAGCCCCGGAACGGGGCGCTCAGAGTCATGTCTGGAAATGGTGGCGCCATGCGTGGGTGGTGAGAGTCTTGAGAGCTAGAGCTTGGATCCGGTTTCGGGTTGGTCGGATCTTTCATTTTGTCGAGTTCGGCGCTCAAAGCTCTCTTTCTCTTTCTTTTACTCTATCTTCTTGCGACCGTACTATATGTGTTGACAATGAGTGTTCTTCACTCGAGATCAAGTTGGAGGGACATTTCGGAGCGAAACTGATAAACAAATGAAACGACGTAGTAGTCCTGGTGATTGTTCTCCATGGCCGATCCATGTGCGACGCCATTTCTGTGGCTATCGACCTCCGACAATGCGAGGGCGGCCAATTGGTCTTATGGGGGTTTGGGAGTATGGTCAGGGTTAGGGTTTGGCTCAGAGGCTTCGTCGTCGGAGGTCAAAGCTCCCAATTCGAAGGACATGGAGAACTAGAAAGGTTAGGGAATCGTGGGGAGCTTTGGTGAAAGTGAGAAATTAGGGCTCCAACTGACTGTGCTTGGAGAGAGAGAGGTGAAGATGGAGGAGTAGGAGGGATCGTGAAAGAAAAGAATGAGGGATCGGGGAAGAGGGACGGGTTGGGGTTTTTTCTTTTTGTTTGTTTTTTGTTTTTTTTTTTTTTTTGTATTTATTTAATTTTTTAATATTGAAGTGGGCTCATATTGACACGTGACGCTTAATTATTGTCCACGTGGGTGCCACGTCATCAATTAATAAAAATTCTAACGGAAAACTTAACGCATATATGAAACTGTCCCAAAATTAAGACTTGAGGTATGACTCTGGGATGAAAAAAACTTCATGTACCAAATGTTGAAAACCGCGAAACTTCAGGGTAGTAAACTGTGATTAACCCTAAAATATTACATAACGTTTGATACAAAATAAACCAAAATTCTCCAGCAAATGCTTAACTAATTGATAATGCAATTACAGGGTCCACAAATATCAAACTATTAACTTATTACAACATCTCCAATGGAGTAGGCAAATGGGTAATTATAATACAACATCTCCAATGGAGTAGACAAATGGGTAATTATAATCACAGTGCCACGTTTCTGTACAATCATTTTTCAGTTAAGCGCTATGTCATAATTTAATAGAATTCTTGACATTCAAGCTAATTGAAGTATGAATCTGCGAGCAACACATAACTTTAGGTATAAAAGTGAGATGAAAAAACTTAGGGTAGCAAAATGCGAATTTCACGATACTTAAGAGTAGTAAAGTAAGAATTAGTGGGCCAAGATCTTACCACATCATCAATTAACAGAAAAATTAATGGCTAGGCTAAGGAAATATCAAAATATCAGAAAAATCAAACTTTAGGTGTGAAAGTGATACAACATAAAGTAAATGTAGTAAAGTGCGATTTTGGTGAAACTTAAGGGTAATAAAGTAGAAATTTACCCCCTTTTTTATGAAGCAAATGAGTATGCAACTTTCCACGTTAGTCATTAGAGTACAACTTTGCCTATTTTTTTCTCTACACCATTGAAGATGCTCTTAAACAATTGAAAAACATAGTTATAGCCATAACCGTTGTCTATTATTTTTTCTCCCCTTTGATTCTGGAATTTCATGTTGCATGCCCAGTTTCCTCGTCACACATGATGTGATCTTTCGATGCATCTGGGAAGTATTTGATGTCAATATGATATTCTTCTTTTATGGGTTTTCATATTGCCCTATTTTTTCCACATATCTTTCCTTTAATCACTTTTTCACTATCCTTTACAATAAATTAAAGGGACAAAACTTCCCTCATTCGTAACATGACATCGTTTCACCATGTAACATTATAACTGAAATTGTTCATTCTCTTTATCATTATCTAATTATTCAATTTACAAAATATTTAGTTATTCAATTAAAAATTTAAAGAGACAAGCCATATAGTCCACCACTAATCACAATATTATCTTAAGTTAAATCGTACTAATGTAAAGGTTTCTCCTTTTACATTTTTATGTGGAGAGAAAATAAGAGTACAAAAATTACAACACTAAATTCATTTTACTATGATTTGGTCTTATGACATTGTTTCACAATCTTATCTTAAGGTAAACCGTACTAACGTATAGTTTTCTTCTTTTGCATTTTTCGGTGGAGAGAAAACGAGAGTACAAAATTTCACCACTGAATTAATTTTACTATAATTTGGTCTTACGACATTGTTTTAAGGGGAGCGTTTTAAAAATATTTAACCCTAGTTGAATATTTCTCAATACACTTTTTTTTTCACAGTATCCTTCTTTTTACACATGATAATCTTAATAGATTAAATTATTAACCAGTTGTTAAGGAGGAGAATCAATTAGAATCGAACTCACTAAATTGTATAAACAATTTTTTTTTTCGACACTACCATAAACAGTCATTTGCTTTTCTCCTGAATCATTTTCCTGGGAATTCAAGAAATCCTGTGATCATAACCGTTCATCATACATCGTGCGATCAATTTTTTTTTTTCTAACCACACGATGTACGATGAACGATCATGATCATGAGATCCTCCGGATCCCCAAAAAAAAGAATCCTTTTCCTTTTCTCTGTATATTGTTTGTGAGGTATTTGTGTATAATATTGGAGGAGAGCTTTCGTGGACCCATCCTAGGATATGGATCTCTCTCTCTCATTTTTTTCTTTCCCTCTCATATTTCTCTCTCATATCTCTTTCTCTCTCTCTCTCTCTCTCTCTCTCTCTCTCTCTCTCTCTCTCACCTAAAAATCGCTGTCTTTCAGTTTGTGCACCCATCTCACCCATCTCCTTTCTCTTTCTGAAAGCCCTGTCAGCCATGAGAGTGAGAGCCAGCACCACCATAATCTAAAGCGCCCCCCCCCCCCCCGGGGCATAAAATTTGTTCCAAAAAACTCACAGTACCATTTGGGATTTTTAGTACATGATGCTTCCATATTTCTATGATATGCTTTTCATTCCTGCATGAAAAAAAAAAAAATCCAAGTCTTATTATTATTATTTTAATTTCATAGCTCACATCACATATGATGGCCTTCCCTCCTTGTCACAGTTTCATGTTTCAAACCCATGAAGATCCAGACCTCCACCTTGCTAATTCCTCTTGCCCTCCTCAGCACTTCCATGGTTTCTCTTCTCATTTTTTTTTCTTTCATTTATATAGTTTGTGATTTTCGACCAAAAAAATTATACTTTGTGATTAATTAAATTGATTTATGAATAGATGGGGTGTTTAATTATTGATTACTTTTTGTGGTTTTTTGTGGGCTCTCTGCAGGTGGTGGAATGCCTTTTATGATGAAGAGATCACTGTCGTTTTCAGGTGTTGAGAACAATAGATGCCACCATCACGACCAAGAAGCGGCGCTGCATGGAGGAGGAGGAGGGGATGATGATTTGTCCGACGACGGATCCCAGATGGGAGAGAAGAAGAAGAGGCTGAATCTTGAGCAGGTCAAGACTCTGGAGAAGAGCTTCGAAATAGGGAACAAGCTAGAACCGGAGAGAAAAATGCAGCTGGCTAAGGCACTCGGTTTGCAGCCGAGACAGATTGCTATATGGTTTCAGAACAGAAGGGCAAGGTGGAAGACAAAGCAGTTGGAGAAAGACTACGATGTTTTGAGGAACAAATTTGATGCTCTTAAGGCTGACAATGATGCCCTTCAGGCTCACAATAAGAAGCTTCAAGCTGAGGTAATTGATTTAGTTAATTAGCTCAAGTTTATAACTTTTGAAGAATAAATTGTTGCAGACTTAAGCGTAACCAAGCTGGCTAGAGCGGATGTGCTCCATGCTCTGCACTCTAGTTTGAATTTCATCCCGTAATTTAGATTAGATTAAAGTAGAATATCGCAGACTGATTTTCTCCTCCATTCCTCAATTTTCTTCTCGGATGAAAATCAAGTTTGCAGTTTGAATAATCATCTCCCTAATTTCATTGCAGATTGACTTTCTTCTTCCTTCCTTCCTCTTGGTTTTCCTGAGGTGTACATAGAGTTTGAAGTAGCTAGAGAAATGCTAATTTTTCTTTTAAACATTTAATTAAATGATTAAATAACTTGTTATTGTAAGGGGAATATTTATTTATATCATCAGCATTGATTATGGTGCATTATGATTACTAGGACATCTTAATCTCAATTCTACTGGATGCTGGATCAGCTCTTGATCCAATGCACATGGAAATATATAATTGGTATCAAAAGTCAGTAATATCCCCTAATTAATTTATCTTAATCAGTGTCAGCTTGTCAGATGTGCATCTTAATGAACAAAAGTACTTTAATCTGAGTTGCTTCAAAAGTTAACCTAACTTCAATTGTTTAGATATTTATATTTGTTTGGTTTAAAATTAAATATGATGCAGTTATTGGCTCTAAAAAGCAAAGATTCATCAAATGAAGGAGGGTTTAATTTCAAGAAAGAAACTGATCCGGGTTCTTGGAGCAATGGAAGTGAGAACAGTTCTGACCACCACCACCACCATCATCTCAACTTAGAAATTTCAAGAACAACGGCAACCACCAGCAGCCCACCTTCTGATTCTCCTCAGATGAACGGAAAAAACCTCTTTCCACCGTCCTCCTCCTCCCTCAGGTCTGCAAGCACAACCCATCTCCTCCAAGGATCATCGAGGTCAGATCTTCAGTCCCTCAAACTTGATCAGATGATTCAGGACGAAGGATTGTGCAGCATGTTCAATGGCATTGATCAAGAGCAGCAAGGGTTTTGGCCATGGCCTGAGCAGCAGCATTTTCATTAATTGGATTGATCATCCAATTAAATTCCAAACCCTGAAGATTAATTACATTATTCTCAAGCAAGTTTGGGCAAGGCTCAGTGATCAGACAAGTAATTAAATATTCAAGGATCATCGAGTTTTAGTTAAATATTCAAGGTTTTTTTTTTTTTTTTTTTTTTTTTTTATGTACAGAGTTCCACTTTTGCTTCATCAATTTCATCAGTTGGGCTGAAAAATCAGTGTGGGGGAATTGATTTGACTCTGAATAAGACTTCAATTCTAGTTTATATCCCATATTTTTCTAGATTGTCTAGGCTTGTTAATTTCCTGGGTTGCACTCAGATCATATTAAGAATTTTTTCTTGTTCAAGCGATGTTCTAGTCTAATCTAAACTACATGAAGATATTCAAACTTGAGTGCCGAGAAATAACCAACTTGGTTACGCTCAATTTTACAAGACTACGTACAGTACACTACAAAAAGATTTAGCTAAATAATTAAGTTATATGGATATATATACATGTGCCAGTGAGTGGATTTCCAGCACTGCCATGGAGCATATGGGACATGAGATCAGAAGGATTCTCCTCACCTGCAAAATTTTCAATTTTCTTTTTTAATTTCTATGTTTGTTGGTGCTTTGGGGATCATGATATTGTAATATAAAACAATTTCTATATATAGAATTGCTCTGTGGAAATAAGTTGCAGACTTGCAGTGATGAGAAAAAAAGCTGACTTCATATAGCAGATTAGCTACAGAAGTTATCATGAAGATTAAAGCCTTAAACGTAACTGTGAGGAAAATCTCTGTTGGAGGTAAAGATCGAAGGGCCAATTAAAGAGGTGAGAAAAAGAGGGTTGAGTGGTAGATTCTGAGCACACATTCCAAGTAGAAACAAGCCAAAGAGATGGGAGGAGAAAGAAAACAATGGAGTCATGGACTGTAAATAATATTTGTGAGGGTTTTTGAAGGTGACGTTTGTGTATTTCCATCTGACAAGATTAAGTATCTACCTGTGTACTCTCTCTGTAGCATATATATATATATATATATATATATATATCCATGTGACCTACTGCCACACCATATGTGAATCCCTCCCTATCATTCATTCAAACACAATCATATGCATCTTTCTTTATACCAGACTTTCATGCAACAAAAATACCACTGTGATAATATTTCTGTTAGTAGTGTGAACCTCACGCAAAAGTAACTATAAAACTTTGCATAAACTTGTAAAGAATTGAAATCCTCCTGCTAGCTAATTGACTAAGACAAAATTTCAATTACTTTCATAATATATCACAGTAGGTTAATTTATCTGCGTAATTACTTTACAATACAGTCATAGAAGTTAACTTTTTATGAAATATATCTTTATTTATTTTTTAGTCTATTTCATGATATATATCTATTATCAACAGAGCCTTTGAATACTCGTGTACTTATCTTTTGAGTCGTCACATCATCCAAGTTCTATATGTATGTAGTTTTCTTGAGTTAGGTACTATTACAAAAGATTTCTTTTCTTGTGTAATCTATGTATCATTTTCAATAGGATTTGATAGAAATTGTGTTGTTGGGTTGGTGTTTAGGAGACCGAAATGGTCATGTCAAGTTAACAAATGAAAACAAGGTCACAAGAGTCAACCACTAATTAATCAAACTATATATAACTTTGGAATGTGTGGTGATCGTCGGTGGACGAATGAGTTAGAATTAGGCTAGATTAATAGTTAGACTCCTGTCAATTGTAACCTTGAAACTGTTGTACAACATGCAAGGTTTAAGATTATGTATATACGCTTGGCAGCGCACGCGCACACACACACACATATATATATATATATATATATGCACATATGTGCCCTTAGTTAATTGTTGTCATTAGATCTTTTCTAATTCATTCGATCTAACAGCCATAAATAGTGAGGAATTTATTGAAGGTAAAACGAGGTGTGTAGATAGCACCACCCTTCATATAATGTTTGGCTACATTAATCCCATCTCGCTTACAATGTGAGTTATATATACGCATGTAGTACTAGCTAGCTAGCATGTGGAGTACATGTGAAAATGTAAGGCCTTTGTCTCCTTCAATTTAGACCATAACAATTTAGTCACATGTTTAAGCTGGGAACTAGAAAGTATATCTTATTAATTCAATGCCCTCATCATGAAACTATGAAATTTGGCATGAATTTCCAGTATATGAATGACATGATCACAAAATTAGAGGGATGCTTATGATTAATACACACACACACACACACACACACACATACACTGTTCAGTGACGTTTCTTCTGCAGTCTGCAGGAGGAAGGGACTAGTCGAATATGTTCCATTCATGTCACCTTCCATCCTCTATCGATCCATGCATCTCAGTTCTTTATGATTCATGTAGTCGTCATATAAATCGTGAGCTAATTGTTGACATGGGTTTGAGCTTATAATATATGCATTCATTCAGCGTCCGTTGCGAGATTCTTCAGCTTTTTTTAGAGACACATAGTCCAGTTCACACTGTTTTTTTATGAGCTCAACCATTTAGATTTAGGATTTTTTTTCAAAGTACACTCTACAAGAATCACTTTCGTGGTTCTTAGATATTCATCTGCTATATATAATATGGCAGTCGATGATTGAAGATTTTGGAACTGCATGCCAAGCCTTGAACACCGTGCTTGCAGTTGCATGTTGTTTTTCGATCTCACACACACACACACACACACACACACACACATACGTATATTAGGGTAATGTTAGGAAAACTAAAATTTTGAGAGATTTTTCAGTATAACCGTCACACGAGGTGGTACAACACGTGTCCCTATAGAAATGATGGGTTATGTGTGTTAAAAGGTTAATAACTTAAAAATTAAAATTTTCCACCACTTGCATAAAAACACATGGTGTATCATCCATGTTTCCGTCACAACTAAAAATTTCTCCAAAATTTTAAACCAAATTTGCAAATCAAATGATATGTCACCAATAGGAGATAAACATGTTTATCGACACTTAATTCATAATCTAAATTGTGTAAACTATATGATGTGGTTGATGATGATTGAATTATTAATTAAGTGTCGATAAACATGTTTATTTCCTATTGGTTACATCATTTGATTTGCAAATTTAGTCTCCCTAGCATTATCCTTTTCTAGAGTTTGCAATAGTTTGATGCATTGGGATAGTATTTTCTTGATGCATGGTGGACTAATGAACGATCATGTGCAACACTCTCCATCCACTCCACAAGTAATTTTTCAGTGTGCTAGGAACACAGCCTGATACATCAAGTATCATAATATAATTAGTTGAAATTTCTTTTAAAGTTTTCAACTAATTATATTATAACATATAGTATATCGGGTCACGTTTCTGGTACATTGAAAAAATTTTACCACTCCAATTGTTTATTGTAAAATCCATCCTTTTTCTCTTTTTTTTTTCCTTTTTCTTTTGGGTAAAGTGGAAAAGCCCAACAGTTACAAACTTCATAATGTTGTAGCCCAGATCCATAGATGGAGATGTGGCCTCAACATAGTGTAAAGCCCAAATTCACGAGGAGGCATGTGATAACGATTTTAAGGTCCGTTTGAAAGTGTCATTTGAAAAAGATCAATTGACAAAAATTGACAATTGTATATATGATGTAAAATGCAGTGTGTGAATAACATTAGTCAAAGCATAATTTCTTATGAAGAGAAGTGCATTTACGCGCCCGTGGCGCTAATATTAGTCGTTGCAAGTAGAGGTTGTAAATCAACTTATAGAGTTATTAATGAGTATCTATGAAGACCTATTTAATTTAATATCATCATAATATAAAAGTGAAATTAGTAATAATGATGATGGTGTAAGGCGAAATTAAACTAAACGGATCTCAATTCACAATCCAATCGGTTGATCATGCATCCTCTAATTGTAAATGGCAATTGGGCCTGCACGACAAAAACAACAACAAAAGTTAAAAAGATCCGACAAGAATGCATTAAAGTGTCCTCAACAGAAATTTAAAAAAGCGAGCAGAAAGTTAACACCATAAAAACCACACCACAAAAAGATAAAGTAAAAAGAAAAAAACCCCTGTTTTTGTCTTCTTGTCTTTTGAGAAAGCTATTTAGATGCACAAAAATTTAACATTGCTCTCAACACGATATTTAATGAGATTGATCCTATCATTATATGTGAGAGCTTCAATTGCATTAGATTGTGTCATCAAATGTGTCTAAATAGCATCGGGACGACGTGAGATCATTAGTATTAGAGTATATTAGAGTATATACCAGCAATATTGTTAATTTTATGTTTCTACTTGACACACAAAATTAGTGCAGACATATAATGGAAGAAACCATCTATAAAGTGTGTCAACAAGTATGTCGATTTTATGTGTTTAAATAACATCATAGTTAGAATGTTTTAAGCTACTCTAGTCTACAATAAAGGGAATTCAAACTCAACTACAAGAGATGGACACACTGGCCTAATCCAAAGAGAAAAACCCTTATCCCAATTAGCAATAATAAGACAAATTAAGTCCTAATAACGCCATAATTTTGCAATCAAACAATGTGTTGAGCATCTGCATGAGCACCACATCATCGTCAAAATTTGTAATTATCTTTTTCAATTTTAAAATATATGTTCCTTTTTTGGCCAAAAAACACATGAAATGTGGCAACCGAGAATTGGCATGGTAACGTTTTAGTCACAAGTTGGAGGACGGCAAGCAAACCGTTTTTTTGGATAATTCACGAGAAAATTTTCAATGTGCTGAAACATAGTCTGATTACTAAGTGTTAGTATATAAGTGGTTGAATTTTTTTTAAGTATCGAACTAGTTGTATTATAATAATTTGTGTAAAAATCTTATTTTCGCTCCCTCACTAAGTCGCTGCCTCTTGCTTCCCCTCCTCTCTGTTGTTTCTTTCTCTTAAAACCCTCTCAAACATCCTTCTCATTCCTCACGCTTGTCCTTCGCTCCTTTTCATGCTTAACGCGCGTTTGGCTCCTCTCTCTCTCTCTTTCTCTCTCTCTCACCAAACCAAACCACATTGTTCTTAGCTTTCTGGTTAGCTTAACCTCGACGCGATTCAGCAGTTGTTTCTGTTCTGTCTCCGTGTCTCTACGTCTTTTTTGTGCCAGTGAGTGTGTGTGTGTGTTTTTTTTTTTTTTTTGGTTTTGCTGCGAGTGACCAAGTGATGGGTTTCGAGTGCAAAATGCGTTCTTTCTCTTAGAGCTCGTCGCCCTCTGAGATTTTGTTCCTGGGTTTTTTCTTCGTTCTGAGTCCGACATTCTCCTCTGTTTTAGCTGCAAATTTTACTAGGTGGTCGTCGTTTTCGCTTGCATGTCGTTTTTCTTGTCTTGATTTGAAGCAAAAGGCTTGATTTTTCGAGTTGGTTTCAGTGTTTTTTGGGTTTTTTTTCCTTCTGAATTCAGGATTCTCATATCTGAGAAGGACCCAATGCGTTTCCTAGAATTATGATTCTTTGGGCAGTTTTTCTCTTTTGAGGTTGTTTTTTTTCAGAGTTGTTTTCTGAATTCATAATTTGGTTGCTTTCAAAGGGGATTGAAAGATTGGTTTTTTGGTGAAATCTCATATTTTTTTCACAAACGGGGGGATTAATCTTGAGTTTTGACAACATGGAATTGGGTCCTGATGCTTTTGTTGGAGCTAAGAATGTCGGAAAATCGAAGGGAAAGGAAAAGAAAGATGACGAAGATGAAGTGACAGGGTGTTGGATGAAGTTAAGGTTCATGGGGAGGTGCATGTCTCCAAAGACCAAACTGAATAGTTCTGCAAGTGGAACTAGCTCACCAGATGGTATAATTCAATTCATTCCTTAAATTTCCTTTTGTTTTACGACGTTTTCCTTATACAATTTGTCTCAATTTTTATGGTTTTACCTGCAGATTAGATTTTGATTGATTCCTTGACAATGTACTGGTGTGATCATGTTATTTAGCACGTCATTGCGCCATGGATATAGATGTTTGTGAAAGAATTGAAGTGATCATGTTATTCATCAATCTTCATTTGGTTCTGTATTTGTTATTCTGGTTGGATACATCGATTATTCTGTGATTGTATCTGTTTGTGCATTGTTTCTGGTAGTTTATTAACCAAGAAAGGCTAAGAACTTTTGTAAGTTCAACCATGAGGTGTTCTTCACATTTTGAATTAGAATTGTACCAATTCTACCGAACAGTCCAACTTGCCTAAACATTTCCAGCATGTTTGATTTTGACTTTTTAAGTATGTTCTGTTATCAAGATTCGAATTTGATTTGTGTTTTCTGGATGCTCCCAAACATAAGGATATAGGGCTAGATCATTCTTTTGTGGTTTTGGATAAATGCTGGCACGTGTTTGATTTGCTCTGTGCTTATGAAATGTAGCTAGTTTATTATTTGACTCGTGTTGCTGGATGCGGGATAAGAGGGATACGCAGGTGTACCCTTTCATTGTTTTGTATAAATTATGTGCACATGTTAATTTGGCTGTTCGCTGTGCGCTATGTGAAATGATTATGTTTCTGTTTTTAACTGAAGATTTTAGAGTTGTCTTGACAATTAATGCATCTCTAATGTGATGAGACACGTCTCTGTATGCACATTTTGTAACGGCAATGCTAGTGTCAATTACTCGCTATGTGCACGTGGGCAACTGACTGAAACAGAACTCTTTCATGAAAGTAACGTAGGTGGGACTCTGCGTTACCTGTGTCCGGTTAACTGTTTAGCAAGCTTATCTTTAGCAGGGAGGGCTCTAATCATGGTCACCTACTGCTTCAAATAGCCGTGTCCAATTTTTTATGATCATATTAATCCGTAAATAATTTAGCATATCCACAGAGTATGCTTCCGATAATAAAAAATAATAATTAGATGAGGAAAACATTTAACGGGATACTCATATTGGAAGAGCATTTTCCTATTACGAATTCTGGTGCATAAAATACCTCATCAATGCTTGATAAATATGCAGACTTCTCTATCAATGCATATCATATATCCTAGTCGTGCCAAATTTAGAATCTGTGCCTACTCTTTATATAAGGCTAAGCTGGTTGTCTTAAATTATACCTAATGATTTGATGTGGTGTCATTTGTGGACCAGCAGAAAGTAAAGGTACAAATGAATCGATCAAAGACCAGCCTGGTGCTCCAGTTCCTTCGTCTGCAACCACCAGTAACACAGGAAGTACTGTGCCTACTCCTAAGGCAGCTGAGGAACTGAAAGTTGCTTCCCAGCTACGAAAGTTCACCTTTGATGAGCTTAAGTCTGTAACAAAGAATTTTAGACCTGTGAATCTTCTGGGCGAGGGTGGATTTGGTTGTGTATTTAAAGGCTGGATTGACGAACATGGAACTGCTCCAGTAAAACCTGGAGCTGGGCTTGCAGTTGCCGTAAAGACTCTGAACCATGATGGACTTCAAGGTCATAAAGAATGGCTGGTATGGAACCTCAGTATCATTTTTTGCCCATTACCACTAATTAGAATTATGGGGTGTTTGTTCTCCTTCATGGATGACTAATGATGTTTTGTCTTTTCCATGTTGTAGGCTGAAGTTAATTATCTTGGCGACCTACTTCATCCTAATTTGGTCAAACTATATGGTTATTGCATTGAGGATGATCAAAGGTTACTTGTATATGAGTTTATGCCTCGGGGAAGCTTGGAGAATCACCTCTTTAGAAGTATGTACTCAAAATTTGAATTTGGTCTTCCTTGTGACAAGTGTTTAGATGTGTATTTACCTTTGGCTTGAAGATTTATGTTCACCTTTTAATGCTTGCAAGTGATTTGAACTACTGTGACTCCCACTGAATTTAACCTAGGATAGAGTTTAATGTGATGCAGAGGGACACAAGGATGATGATGGTTGTATTTTTTGGTGAGCAGTTTTCTATTAGTATTAGCGTTGACGTGTGGATACTGTTTTAACACAGGTCCTTGAAGTTTTTTGCTTGTTTTAGTGTGTTCGAAAGTGCTTGTCTTAGGAATGAAAAGTTTCTGTGTTTTAGATGCTATTCATATGCAAATTGTGCTAATACAGTCTTAAATTCGTGTTTGGAGGTTGTGGATTACGATTTATTTCCTACTGTTAATTTACATCTAAATGAAGAAGGGGGTTAAAACTTACCAAAGTTGGATCCGCGTCATGATTAAATGCGGTGAGGTGGTAAGAATGCTCGAGTTTAATTTGCCACACCTCAAAAAATTTCTGTAAGATGTTTCCTGAAAAAACAAAAAACAAAAGTTAAATGTGAATGAGAGTTTGCAGTGTAAGTTCTGGTTGTTTGATTTTTTTATGCTTCAGTGTTTTTTTTCCCCCCATTTCAGAGTCCTGGCCACTCCCTTGGCCTATCCGGATGAAAATAGCTCTTGGTGCTGCAAAGGGTCTTACCTTTCTTCATGAGGAAGCCGAAAGGCCAGTGATTTATCGAGATTTCAAAACATCTAATATATTGTTGGATGCGGTGTGTTACTGAGTTCAGGTTCGAATGTCTTTGTTTTTACCTGATACCTATTCTTCTAATCAATGGTTTATTCTCCCAGGACTACACTGCCAAGCTTTCTGATTTTGGGCTCGCCAAAGATGCTCCAGAGGGAGACAAAACTCACGTCTCCACCCGAGTTATGGGCACTTACGGTTATGCAGCCCCTGAGTATGTAATGACAGGTTGGTATCATAAACTGTATGAATCATCTTTTTTGCCTTTGTCTCAACAGTGCTTACTGCATCTCATTATTTATGCTCTTTTGCTCTTGTGGAATGTAAACTAATATATATAATGCAAGCCATCTTCTATCAGGACACCTCACTTCAAAAAGTGATGTGTATAGCTTCGGGGTGGTTCTGCTTGAAATGTTGGTTGGTAAAAGATCTATGGACAAAAACCGACCCAAAGGGGAGCATAACTTGGTTGAGTGGGCACACCCGCATCTGAGAGACAGGCGAAGGTTCTATCGTCTAGTAGATCCTCGAATTGAAGGCCGCTTCTCTATCAAAGGTGCTCAGAAGGCATTTCATTTGGCTGCCCGTTGCCTTAGCCGTGACCCCAAGGCTAGACCTCTGATGAGCGAAGTTGTTGAAGTGCTGAAGCCTCTTCCCGATCTCAAAGACATGGCCTGCTCCTCATCTTACTACCAAGCCTTACAAGCTCCTGGGTCCAATCCAATTTCTCGAAATGGCAGTAGAGGGCTGGCCGGGGTTTCAAGGAATGGACAACCAACTAGAACCCGATCCATGCCAAATGGTCCGCATGCCTCACCCTATCACCTAAACCATCTTAACCGATCACCCAGACCTATTGCGCAATCTGCACAATCATAAGGTTGAGCTCCCGTTAGATTTCCGTTTTGTTTCCTTTCGTCAGAAGTTATCGTTCAAGGGATAGGACAGAGAGTGAGAAAAGAACAGACCTCAGCTGTTTTATCGAGTCGAATGTCAGTGTGTTCTTCGGAGAGTCGAGTTTATAGGGTTTTGTCATCAAGCTTAACTTGTATGGCTAGACATAGATATTGAGCATAGAAATTTACCAAAGGAACATTTAAACTAGCCAAAGAAAAGAATCTTAAAGATGCTTGTTGTATGTGCAGTGAAAAAGGTTTCATGTTTTCTTGTTTCTTCGTTAGTAACTGCCTTTGTCGGTAATCTGCAATCTATGTTTCTCATTGATTTATTTGTGTTGTACGTGAACTGCCTGAACAATTGCCAACCGTTGACGTGCACGGAACTGCCTGAAGTTTCGAAGCAGTAAACACATCCACGGTGGACAATTGTGCGCGTACACGTGGTTGATTGTTCTTTAAGCTTCAACCACGAGTTCCCTATTTCAAATAAATAAACATGGCATGACGTGCTGGGGAAAAATCTTCGAATTATGTCCAGATCAATGTATTTAATCATTACATTTATTCATTCCCTGGAACCTAACCTTACAAGAAATTCAAATCACAAAAGGTGAGACATATGAAGCTAATTTAAGCTTTAATTGAAAACTTAAAAAGCATAAAATGCTTGTAAGGCTTTTTAGGAGTCACAATTGTGGAAGGGAAATTAGGGTGATTGACAGAATCGGGAAACCCTTGAGTCTCCAAGCACAACGCTGCATGCGGTTCATACACAAACCCTCCTTTCCCCTTCACATCCTTGAGAAAGTTACTCGTGTAGAACTGCAAGCCGGGCGCATTCGTCGACAGCTCTAAAACCCTCCCGGACTTTTTGTCGTGCACCACCGCGGCAGGCCTCAGTTTGTTGCCTACACCGCTGCTGTCGAGGCAGTAGTTGATGTCGTAACCGCTAGGCAGCTTGTTGATCCTGCTTCCCACATCATTTGGCTTGAGGAAGTCGTACGGGGTTCCTTTTACAGAAGCTATTTTGCCGGTGGGAATGAGGTGACTGTCGACGGGAGTGTAATGAGAGGCAAAGATCGTGACGTCCTGGGACAGAATATCGCCACTGTTGTGACCGCCGAGGTTCCAGTAGGTGTGTTGAGCTAGACTCACCGGAGTCGGCTTGTTTAGAGCCTTAGCTTTCATTTTTATGCTCAGTTGGTTGTCTCCAGTGAGGGTATAGCTCACGGTAGCTAGCACATCGCCGGGAAATCCTGCACAGATTACGTAACAATGAATTCAGTGTGTAGAACGATAACTTTTATGCAACGAGATGTCACTGTGGCAGTATCCAAATTAAGTCATGTATGGCCAATGTTGGAAAGTTTAAAAGCATAACAATGCTTGATTTGCTTGGGAAACCGTCACAGTAGCATCTAGAACACATACAAAAGCGATCGTTGTGAAGTTGCGTGTACCTTGTTCGCCATCGGCACTATGATAGGTGAAGACAATGGAAGGAGAATGGCCTTCGTTCTTGTGCTTTATCACTTTCCAGACAACATCACTGAATCCTTTTTTGCCACCTGACATTCAGCTAACCAATTCAATAAGGTAAATTAAGTTGCAGGTATTAAGCTAAAACACAGATTAAGACAAGATTAGTTTCGAGTTAAAACAACGTTAATGTATACCATGAAGCATGTTTTTTCCCTCATTAGCAACTAACTTGTAGTGAGTTCCATTTAACGTAAATTGAGCTCCTCCAATTCTGTTAGCAACCCGTCCAACGACAGAACCGATGTAAGAAGTATCATTCTGCAAAATTGCAAATCACAATGAAAACAGAAGGCAATTAGACAGTTGCAGGAGTATGGCGACGCAAGTGATAGATTTGAAATACCGTCACTTTTTTTTGGTAAAATAAGAGGGTAAAAAACCCTAAACTAAACAAGCCTTGGAGATCCCTAAGCAATCATCCATCAACACCATTCTAATCCACAGAAGAGGATCATGAAAAATGCAAACCCCTAGACAAAATGGGCCTTGCATGAAATACCGCCACTTTAACATTCTAGTGCACGTAAGTTTTTCTCAAGTTACAAGACAAACAAACAGGTCAACCAACCACTTCGATTCACGTGTCACTGTAAATCATTCAAGTATCTACAATATAGTAACTATTTAAATATAGACCAAAACAAAAAACCCAGGTCAAGACTTAGATTTGCACACCTTCAACTTGCTCTGCATTCTGCAATACCATGATCCTTTTTTGGTTTTTTATGGAATGATTGGTTAAAATAAAATTGTTGTGAGTAGCAAAGTGCAGGAACCAAAAACTCTGTCTATGTGGTTAGTTGTACGAGAAATGCTAAGGGACTCTCAGAAAAGTGGAACTCTTCATGGATTCTCTGTCATCTCGTACTTTGCACAATGCTTTATACTATTAGCAACATAATTGACGTTAAACTTTGAGGTGACAGAGAGTCCATGAGAGCCACTTTGAGAGAGTCCCCTCATCACTTCTCTAGTTGTATTATTTTAAGAAATGTGTTTCCCTAAAACTTTTCAAATGGACAACTTGTTTTGCTTCAAGGTTAGGAAAAACTTGACCATTGACTTAAAATCTTGCCTGCATTTTCCTTGACTACAGATAAATTTCCAGCTGGGGTTAATCACAATTTTACAAATTTTCCATGACATTCAAGAAATGTAGATTTGGTTGATTCAAGAATAATAAATCATGTTAATAAAAAATAGACAAACTGACTGAAATAATAATTTTATAAATCATACATCCCTCAAATATTTTGATAAAATATTAACAACATAACGATCGAATACTGAAAGTTATCGTTTAAATTTGTATTTTCACTTTTTCGGCCAATTTCCCATAAAAATAAGACTAGAGATTCCCACGTCCTACAGTTCCCCTGCCCAGCTAATCAAATCATTTCAAAGAATAATGTAAAAATAAAAACAACTAAACATAGCTAGCACATCCACATTAATTCTTGCCTAAAATCCAAACTAACATTGTCCTCCCTATGAGACAAACACAGCACTGTGGATCGCTCATAGAAGCTTTGGAACGCCACAACAAGAACACTAAACAGAAAAAAATTACAGGAAAAGAGAAAACTCACCGTGTACTCTTTGACGGAATCGTACCCGAGAACTACATCAGCAAGCTTTCCTGCAAACACCAGAAAGGAAGAAACGGGAAAACCGAAAAGAAGTGAACACAAGAATTCGAGAAACAGGAAACCATCGAGGTAAAATCAAAGTTCATAGAATTCGAGAAATGAACACAAACCATTTTTGTCCGGTAAAACAAGGGAGATGATAGTTGCACCCCAGTTGGTGAACTTGACTGAAAGATCACCCTTCTTGAGAGCATACACACCAATCCTTTCCTTCGATTCGGAACCAGAAGCATTCGCAATCGCGAAAGCGGCTAGAACGATGAAACAAAGTAGAACACGAGTGTTGGACATCTTGCCGAGTAAAATGTTCATATCAGATAAGATCAAAGGAAGAGTAGAAGTGTCACGGGTGGGACATGAACACGAAACAAGTCAGAGAAAAGGCAGCAGTTTGTACATTATGGTTAAGCTCTTATGTTTGTAGAGCCGGTTGTGTTGACTTGGTAACTCTACAAACAATGTGAGAAGATTCTTCAGCCGCCCAATTGTGGTCCGCTAATAAGACAGACTAAGAGTTCGTTTGTAAGTGTTTTTAAACGACTGTAAACGTTTTTGGTGTAATGGCTTTTCGGTTTCAAAAGTACTTTAAGTGGTTTTTGGAAAGAAGCACAAGATATATGCTTATTACAGGAAGTACTTAAAATTCACTTGAATTTTTACTAATAATTGGTTTAAAAACATTTTCACCAAAAATCTTTCAGTCATTTTAAAAATACTTCCAAATGAGCTCCAAGAATTTATTAACGCAATTAGATTTGTTAATCGCTCGGCTTTAAGCAATGATATGCAAGATAATACTGAATAAGATGACTTTTCAATTTCATGACCCATGATCCTCAAGTATTGACTGCATGTCATACAAAAGATAGCCGTGACACCCAAAGTTTTTGGCTTTTATCTGCAAATCATGATTACCATGCAATAAAGTAATATCATCCTCATTCGTAAAGTATTAGTTGCTAAAGTTTTTAGATTTGGATTAAACTCTCTGTCATCATTAAGAAGCAAAATTGGAAATGTTACTTTTGACTACATGTGGCATGTACCTACCAAGCAAATTGAGAAAAATCATCATTGATATTCGCTCCGCAATGTAACGAGGGTATATCCCTTCTTCCTATCTCACTCCTTACGTGATTTAATCCAATGATGAGCAAGATGGAGTGAAGGGAATGTATGTACACAAGTATTAGCTATCCAAGAAGCAAAACGGCAGGAGATGTTGACTACCGGGTCCCTGTAAGAGAGAAGAATGGCATACGTTAAAAGTTTAGAACCGCGTGAGAGGGAGGCTACGAAAGCAATGACACAACCAGTTGGTTCCATACGGATATCTTCCTTTTTTATGTCAGCCATTTGTATTGTTTTGGGAAAGGTAGCAATCCAATTGTGGTACCTACTAAAAGATATTGCATAACTAGATAAATAAATTATTACCAATACCAATCAATTTTAACAAAAATAAATAAATAAAGAATAAAAACTTTCATATGACGGGATATCACTGCGCCGGTATAAAGATAATGAAAAGGCTGCAAGCTTTTGGTTCCAATCAAAATAAAAGATGAAGAACTTCCATACCAATCAATTTCTGATCAAAAAAAAAAAATGAGGTACTTCCATACAACAGAATGTAATTGTGGAGATACCATGATAATCATGTTGAATTGCAAGCTTGTCTTGGGTCCAAGTTATCAAACACAAATAAATGGTCCAGCCTATGGAACCTTCTACCGTTAGGTAAGTTTGGCCACTGCATCAATGGAGGATGAGTAATCCCACTTCTAAGTGAAAGTTAGGTTTGCATCCATGGAGGATGAGTAGTGACTATGTCTTGTGTTTAGTAGCTTTTCCTCTTGTTTAAGAGGTTTAATCACATCAAATCAAATAAGAAGCAACAATAGCTTCAAATAGTGTAAGCAGTGTTTTATTTTTTATATTTATTATTTTTTTGAATAAAAAAAATCTATATATATATATATATATCAAATAAATTTGACCGCAAAGTCAATCTCACTCCAGCATTGCCATCATAAGAAGTGACTTTGAAGAGAATTTATTGATAAACAAGAAAAATACAATATGTCAAAGGGGACATGAAGCCAAACCCTGACCATTAAAGAATTTATGAAAACAAGTCAAAACCTCTTTTAGCAAAACCTATAACAAGGAAGCTTAGAAAGGTTATGAGAATAAGTAGTTGCAGCACAAGGAGGGCATGAATTCCACCAATGAACACCGAGGTGATCAACACCATAATTGGCCAAACAATTAGCAACTTGATTACCCTCCCTAAAATATGAGAAATCTAAACTTGCATGGAGGATAATAAAGCTCGACAGTTATGCCAACTAGCCAAAAGTCTCCAAGGGATCGATATCAAAGAAGGCGAAGATGAAGAAAGAAGGTGAACAACCAGTGAGGAGTCACACTCAATCCATAATGAATGCCAACCTTGGTCCCAAGCTAAAGATATACAATGAATAACGGTGCATAGTTCAACATTTAAAGAAGAGGTCAAACCTATTAAATGACATGTAAAATCACCAAAGATACCACCAAATGCAACCACATCAAAGGAACCTCTTGCAGCACTATTAGTATTTACTTTAATCCAAGACTAAGAAGGCAGGAGACACAACACCTCAATAATTTTTCGAGCCTTAGCAGGACATCCATGAACACCCTAGGTCATATTTTGAGTATTTTCTAGTATTAGTTTTTGTGTGAGAAAATCCTTGAGTAATATTTTGAGTGTTCCTTCTTTCCCTTGCCTAAGTGGAAGTTAGGTTTGCAACAAGAGAGGATATGTAATCCCACTTCTAAGTGGAAGTTAGGTTTGCATCCATGGAGGATGAGAAATCACAATGTTTGGTGACCTTTACTGAAAGATCACCCTTCTTGAGCTCATACACACCAACCTTTTCCATCGACACGGAACCGGAAACATTCGCAATCGCAGTAGCGGCTAGAACGATGAAACAAGTAGAACATATGTGTTGGACATTTTGTTGAATAAAATGTTCATATCAGATAAGATCAGAGGAAGAGTAGAAGTGTAACAGATGGCGTATGAACACAAAATAATTCAGAGAAAAGACAGCAGTCTGTACATTATGGTTAAGCACTTATGGTTGTATAGCCGGTTGTGTTGACTTGGTAACCCTACAAACAATGTGCGAAGATTCTTCAGCCCAATTGTGGTCCCCTAATAAGACAGATTAAGAGTTTAATAACGCAATTTATTCGTTAATCGCTCGGGTTTAAGCAATGATATGCAAGATAATATTGAATAAGGATGACTTCCCATTACCCGTGATCCTCAAGTCTTGACTTGTCATATAAAGACAGCCGTGACACCCTAAATTTTTTGGCTTTTGTCTGCAAATCATGATTACGATGCAATAAAATAAGCATCATCCTCATTAGTAAAACATTAGGTGCTAAAACTTTTAGATTTAAAAAGTACTCTAATCAGATGTGACATGGATCCATCAAGCAAGTTGAGAAAAATTATTATTGGGACATTCACGATGAGAGATCCTTACATGTAACAACGATACATTTACTTATTTTTATCTTACTCATTACGTGGCCTGATACCGTGACGAGGGAAATCAAAAGAAGGGCAGTACACAAGCATTTGCCAATTGCCATCCAAGAAGCAAAGCAGCCGGAGATGTTGACTATTGGGCCCTCTAATTGCAAGCATGGGCTGATAAGAGAGAAGAATGGCACATATTAAAAGTTTAAAACTGAGTGAGATGGCAGGCTACCAAAACAATGAGACAACCAGTTGGTTCCATACGGATATTCCTTCCTTTTTTATGTAGCTGTTTGTGTTGTTTTGCGAGAGGTAGCAATCCAATTGTGGTACTGGTACCTACTAAACGATAATGCATAACTAGATAAATAAATTATCACCAAAACCAATCAATTTTAGAAAATAAATAAACAAATAAAGAAGAAGAACTTTCATACAAGAAGAGTTTTTTTAAACAATTTTATTAATATTAAAGAGAGAAAGGAGAATTCGAAACTATTACAATAATTCAAACAAAAACGAATTTTGAATCCGAGATGTATGAATAAAAACCTAACACTCTGTCCGTTAAGATATTTGACCACATGCACATGCAAGAAAAAATTAACCCACAGAAGTTTATCTACTTTGAATCCACCATAACAGATTACTAAGGGAGTTTCCATCGTCGAAATCTTTCAAGCTTCTAATCTTCTCCAAAGCGCGTTCTTTGTCGTACATCCCTTGTAATGCATACACAAATCCTTTCCATCTGTCCGTGACTCCCTTCCTCCTGAACGCCGGTAATGCCCAGTTCACTAGCTCATTAGCAAACCCCTCATCAGAGAACAATACCTCAGTAACTGGCAAAATAGGCAGCATTTGGATTCCAAGTCTGACTTCTTTTTCCTTTGCAGTCGCAAACCAAAGCTTGCTGTCTCTCTTGATCGCCCATAAAATTCCCACAACCCGGTTTTTCTTCGCGAAACCTTTCTTGTAAATTTGATTCTTTCCTCCCTCTCTCACATGCCACCACATTTGAGCTGCCTGAATTTCTAATGCAGTAAGCAGAGAACCGGTGGCCTCAAGTTGCGCATCTCTATAGACTTTCCCCATCAGAGCAGCTGCATAGTAGGCATTAACTGCCTCACTCGTGCTCTCTTGATTCCTCCCGTCTGGGAATTCTGACAACCCTCCCGCCCACGAGTGCATTTTATAAAGATCAAAGCATCTCAGACGAGTGTAATTTGGATTCGATTGCTTGCCCTTGTTCAGAAAATCCTCCACGAGCGAGTAAGCTTGAGGCTTGTACTTCTCTCCCCATATAGGATCAATCTTTGCTAACACGGAAATTCCATATATAAAGTACCCCAGATGAAAATGGTGATCGTTATAAATACCAAACCCGAAATCAGCAGTCGGATCAGTTCTGGAGGATTTGGTAATAATTCCACCCCATGTTTTATCGTACAAAAATCCGTTGAAGCTAAAAGCACCGTCCAACCATGGCTCAATTTTATCGCTCAAGTATGTCCTAATCGCAGGGATCACATCAGAACAAGCTAGCTCCTCGGCGATCAGAGCCAGCCTCGCCGCTCTAGCAACTAATTTCCCGTAAAAGTATGAAGATTTGGGATTTGATTCTGTTGAACTAAGGGCGTCGACATCTCGATGAAGCGCGGATTTGATCTCAGAAAACGCATCTCTTTTTACACCTCCAACGGAGTTCCAAGTGACTGGAATAGGCTTCGGTGCTAACAGCCACGAATCACCAACAATGCCAACCAAATCACCGTCGATGCTTTTGTACTTAAAATTTTGCAAAACAGTAGCATTGGACAGAAGCTTGAGATGGAGAGGATGAGCGAGCACAAGCAAATCTCCACCTTTCTTTTCAAATTTATACGACAAAGTATTTGAGTTTTCGAGCACAGCTGCCCCAGAAATCGGGTAACAAGAACTGAAGTGGTCGAGAACTTTCTCAGATTTAGGATCAGGATCCGGCACTACAGCAACACGAATAATCCCAGAAATTTTTTTAAGAGATAACGTGGACGAGTCGCTGTTAATTAATTCAGTTGGGGAGGATGTGTATACTAACCATGTCTGACCATTGTCGAGCTTGACGATGAACTTGGTTTTTGAGCCACTCGCTGAGGAAGCCGAGACAATCTTATGACTGGTCGATAAAGAAACCGCCGTGGGGCGATAAACAAAGCAGGTGAGAAAGGGGGTTCCCCGAACCAGGTAGAAGCGGAGGTTGGAGGAGGGAAAGTCCAATGTCACACTCAAATCATTGAAGTCGGAGACTACATGGTGGCCGTTCTTGTTTGAATTGGACGCGAAGATGGTGAGGTCAGCTTCGAACGGGGTTGTGGATACGGCAGTAGAGTTGTAGGAGAAAGACGGGTAAGCGAGAGATAGGGAAGAGTTGGCTGATCTGATGGTGTAGGGGTGGATGTATTCAGGTTGGTCGCCATTGTTGAGGACAAAGTTTTGGAAGAAGGAGTTGGTGGGGAGCGGGGATGAGAGGAGGTTCGGGGCGAAGAAGGTGGAAGGGTCGGGGAGGATGGTGGACTGAGCTTCCGGGAAGAGAAATGGGGCGGGGGTAGCCTGCGGAATCAACGCCGAAAAACAGAGTACGCAGACGACGAGAGCAAGAGAAGAAAGCATGTCGATTTTCATGTTTGTTTTTGCATATTCATTCATGAGAAATTGCACAAGGTTTGGTAAACATCTTAAATTGCATATTCATTCATGAAAAATTGCACAAGGTTATCTCACTATGTACCAGTTTGGTAGTGCTGAAATTTTGAAAAAAAAAGCTGCTGCTTTTTAGTGTTCGGTAAACTTCACAAATCAGCTTTTTTCACAATTGTGGATGTAAAAAGTCAGAAAACTCAAGCAGCAAAAGGCAGCTCCAGAACACTGGCTTTTTTTTTTATCTCAAAACACAGGTGCACGGTAACATTATGTGCTTTTAGAAATTTGATCCAACGATTACAAACATAGGACATTTCTAAAAGTTCTGGATCTATTGATCCCCGAACTCCGGTTGCTCAGATCCGGAGGGATCTGTGCTCCTTTTAGGATTTTATATGAGCTCATACATATCATTGTGGTCGGCTTTGATAATCTAATGATACTAATTTATATGTTGAAGTTGAGACAAATTTTAACTCCATCTCCTACATTGCCCGCTTATTATAATTTTAATAAACTTCATTTTTCCATCACTTAGATCATCTTCAACTCTTTCAACTCTTTGAATAAGTCTCAAAATTTGACTTCTAAACTCACCCAATTTCACTTCAACCCTTAGCCAAAATTTTAGTTTTGGGTTAAAGCTCAAAATTGGGCCAAATACCGGCCATCTTTTGAGTTTTAAACCCACTGGCGCGACTGAGAGCGCCCAGCACTGACCACCCACAAGCTTTTTCACATGCCTGTTTGAATCTCACGACCCCTATTTTCAAAAATAGACATGTTGGGTCCCATGCATGTGGGCATGTCTCCAAAACACAAGGGAGTTGTTGGCAAAAGATATGAGCCCAAAGGCTCCTTGATTTAAATCCAACGGATTGGATCTTTGGATCGTTGACTAATCCAATGGTCGAGGTTCAACTTTATTTTTTTTTTTTAATTTTGTATTTAAAAATTCTTTGAATCTCACGGCTTAGATATAAAACGATAAATAAAAAAATAATAAAAAAAAAAACTAAGGATCCAAATTAAATCCAAAGCCTAAAAAAATTATAAAAAAAATATTTAACTCAAAATTTCACAAAAAAACTCTATAAATACCTATGCATTTGTTCAAATCTCCACACAAAATTCATTATTCTCCTACAATTCTTCCAATTTTTCTTTCTACCATCTTCTAAAACCATTTGTATCATTGTTTCATATTCTTTCAATGTGTTTAATGAGTTTCATATGGTCGGTTTAGTGATTTTTAAATATTTATCGAAATCTAAATATTTTTATGTTAAAATGTTCATAAAATTAAATTAAGTTATTCTACGTAATTTTTTTTTAATTTTTATAAAAAAGGTTACTTTAGAAAAAATTAGCCTAAATTCATTCTTTAATAATATCGGGCTAAAAATTTAACATAAGAGGGTTGGAGCAAAAGAACTGTTTCTAGGCTAAAACCTAAATTTTCTAGGTTAAAAAAAAAAATTAGGTTTTAACCCAAGGATTGGAGATGGTCTTAGGTTATAGGACAAAGATACTTAAGGGAAATAAGCGTTTTTATGGTGAAAGTAATTTGGTCGTCTGAATGCCAAACTCTAAAATGTACTTGTGAGTAAATCATTCATAGAATACCTCACTTCACCAGGAAAGCTCATGAAGTGACCTTTTTCAGCGAGAGAATCGTAGACTCTTGGCCAACTTAGACTTGGATAGATAACCAACCGAAATATGTTCAACCGAACTGAATATGGCGCCAATTTGTCAACTCAATGATGTTTAACCGAATTGAATGTGTGATGACGGAGGTCAGTGAATCAATTAATGTTTTTCACAGGGTATGAGAAGGTTTTGCGTAGAGCGAGGGTTTCTCATAGAGTTGATTTACGTGTTGAGCTCAAGGTCCACTCCATGTTGCCAAACCTCATACTTGAATTTCATGATGGTCAAGTCTGTTGAGTTGTAAACTTCTGATAATATTCCAATTTCTCAGCATATTCTCTTAATATACTCGGAATTATGGAAACTCTACCGCCTCCGAGTCTGGCGCCCCCTCTTTGACTTAACTAGGATTCTAAATAAATTGGTGATGTGATTGATTCAACCTCTATCCAGAAACCAATTCTGATTCTTAATGTTCTCTCATCCCACAACTTATAGTATATGCGCGAAGTGCATGCAAAATTGGATCCAAACAAATTTATATTTGATAAATTAACTCAATAAGGAGCTACATGATATGATATGTAGGAAGTCAGACCTGGTGGCGTCCGCGGATGAGGAACAGGGGGAGCAGCCGCTGACAAGAGTAGGGTCTACGCCAACATTGCAAACTCTGATTTTAAAAACTTCACTCTAAAGCCAACCAACACCGTAACAACCGGTGGGTTTACTGGTGGTGGATGGGTGGCAATGGCTCCTGGCGGTGGCAAAATTCTATGGTCAACTGCCTATCCCAGCAATGCAACCTCTCCTGGACCAGTGAGTGTGGCTAATGGTGTTTTATTTGCTGGATCCACAAATCCGCGAGGCTCCAATGCTGATCATTTTTATAAAATTCATGGGCACACATTTGGGAACACAGCAAAGTAGAACTTGCCAATGCACTTGCAGACATGGGATGGACATCCAATCTGGCCAAAGAGTTGGTAATAAGGCAAGATCCATTTAGATTTTACCATCTAAATTGGTCATGTTATAAATATAATTTTTTTTTCCCTTTGATTCAGTAATCTGTACGACTAGTGATTAATAATATTTTACACTTGGCATGACTGCAAAGATTGACCGTACAAATAGTAAAAAGGCAAAGCTTCTCTGCATTTTGTGTGAGAGTACTTCAAGCTTTCACTTCCATGGCGCCTGCAGAACTCTCCAACGGTCCTCTTCTCCTTTCTCTGTGTATGTTTTGTCTAGTCATAACACCAAGTGCAGGTTTTAACATTGTAAGTTCCTCTCTCTCTCTCTCTCTCTCTCTCTCTCTCTCTCTCTATAAGTGGTTTTCACAACTTGATGGTTTTGGTTTGCAGTGGGGTTCTGCAGAGAAAAAAAAGGATGCCCAAGATTGGCTAAACCACGGCGGAGACTTGTACAACCGAAGATATGCCAACAGGGAGAAGAAGATAAGCCCTGCGACAGTTTCCAATCTCAGTTTGAAGTGGAAATTCTATGCAGGTGGTGACATAACTGTAACACCAGCCATTTTCGACGGCACACTCTACTTCGCCAGCTGGAATGGATACCTCTACGCTGTTAAGGCCTCCGACGGATCCCTTGTTTGGAAGAAGAATGTGCAGAAGCTGACTAGCTTTAACAACACCGGTTTCATACTCAATGTCAACTCTACAGTAACAAGATCGACCCCAACTGTCGCCGGCGATCTGCTCATTTGTGGAATCTATGGACCTGCTTTTGTTATTGCAGTCAAAAGGTCGAACGGGAAGCTTGTCTGGTCTACCAGGCTTGACAACCACACCAGAGCTTTCATCACCATGTCTGGAACCTATTACAAACGGTTAGTCAAACTTAATCTACCTATCTTTTTTTTTTCATTAGTTCTCTATATCAGTTTTGAACTCGTTTGTTAGTACTTTTAGAATGACTAAAAATACTTTTACATTACCAAAAACGCATCTAGTAAACTGCTTATGAACTATAAACACATTAAAATTGGAAAATAACTTTTAACTTTTATTTCTTTTTCTCTGTGTGTGTGTTTCTAACAAAAGCATCTCCAACGAAAATACTTATGAACAGAAGTACTTCCTTATCCTGAATACAGAGTCGTAAACCTAGCTCGCATGGATTTCCAAAGTCTCCCTCATACTCATTATAATATTAATAATTTATGAGTCAGTCAATGGTGTTACTTGGAAACAAGAAGTTAGCAACAAGATAAGCAACACCATGTGCTTCTTGGCTATTTTTGTTCTGCTGGGATAGAAGTATAACAATTTTTTATGCCTACTTGATATTTTAAGTAAGAGTAATGCTAAGGAGATTAAATTTGTAGATAAAGTTTTGAAAACTAAAAGATATGGAAGTTGATGATTGATTTATTACTTACACGTTTATAAACGTGCTTATTCTTATTGATGACACATCATTTAGTTTGCAAATTTAGTTTTCAATTTGGTCTCCCTAGCATTACCCTTTAAGTAATATGTCAATTTCTAATAATCCAAAGTCTTTTTTTATTCACACTGTAGTTTCTGCATATGTTAATCAACAATACAAATATGTTAAGACTTGTTGGCAACTTGACTTCCGAGCATTTTTTTTTTTTTTTTTTTTTTTTTTTTAGGTTTATGACAATGTTTTAATCCTATCAAGAAAACATTTAATTTCTGTGGTGCTATCCGCATATTTTTTATTTTTTATTTCTCACATACTCTTTGTTATTTTAGTCCTTTGATATTTTTATTTTATTCAATCCGACAATCGAAAATTGAGAATGTATGGAAAGTAAAAAAATGTATGTGGATAGCACTTCTCCTAATTTTTTGTAATTTTAATTCTCATCACATGTACTCTGCTAGAAAAAATGTAATCTGCATTGTAATTAATCAATCTTTAAATCACAAAGAGTTGTATTAATGTAATTTTATGGCACCACATTTCAATTTCTTGTAGTGGTTACTATGTTGGAACATCGTCACTAGAAGAAGGACTCACCATCGAACAATGCTGTACGTTTCGTGGGAGCGTATCGAAATTAGACGTCCGAACGGGCAAAATCCTGTGGCAGACCTTCATGTTGCCTGACAATTTCGGCAAGTTTAATGAGTATGCAGGAGCAGCAATATGGGGAAGCAGCCCTTCCATTGATGTCCCTCGGAACCTTGTCTTCGTTGCCACATCGAACCTGTACTCAGCTCCTCCGCGGATAATTGAATGCCAGGAGAAGGAAAACAATCAGACAGTACCTTCTCATCCAGAGGCCTGCATTGAGCCCGAAAACCACTCCGAATCCATGGTAGCTCTTGATTTGGACACTGGGAAAATCAAATGGTATAAGCAGCTAGGAGGCTATGATATATGGTTTGGAGCCTGCCATAGACATTTGGATCCACGGTGCCCACCTGGTCCTAGTCCGGATGCAGATTTTGGTGAAGCACCAATGATGTTAACTACTTATATCAATGGGGCTAGGAGGGACCTTGTTGTTGCTGTTCAGAAAAGCGGGTTTGCGTGGGCTTTGGATCGCGATACTGGCAGCATAGTATGGTCTACGGTAAGTTTGCTAGCTGCAGTTTGTAAATGCTCCTCTTGAAAGCACTTCTGTTAATTTGCTTTCCTAGCTGGCTTACTCATAATCACTTTAAATTTCTTATGTCAAACGTTGTGAGAAGCATTTTGGTTATCCGAAATCGCTACTAGCTATTGAATGCATTAGCTGAACAAAATGCTGTGATGTAGGAAGCTGGACCAGGAGGACTAGGAGGAGGAGCAATGTGGGGTGCGGCCACGGACGAAAAGAGGGTCTACACTAACATAGCCAACAGCCAGCACAAGAACTTCACTCTCAAACCATCCCAGAACACTACAATTGCTGGTGGATGGGTGGCAATGGAGGCCCGCAGCGGCAATATCCTATGGTCCACGGCGAATGCTAATGATGCTACTGCCCCAGCCGCTGTCACTGTGGCTAATGGCGTTGTTTTTGGAGGGTCTACTCATCGACTAGGACCGATATACGCGATGAATGCTAAGACCGGGAAAATCTTGTGGACATATGATACCGGAGCTACTGTATATGGCGGCATTTCGGTGAGCGACGGATGCATTTACCTTGGAAATGGATACAAGGTCTTCAATGGATTCGTTAACCCGAATTATACCGCTGGAACTTCGCTCTTTGCCTTTTGTGTTTAGTAGCTACCAGTTTCCCACACTACGTAATATGAATCTTTGCCCTTAGATGAAATTTTGTAATAACACAAGATGCGAAGCATGCATTAGAAATAAAAGCATTAGCCACTCAATTGTGAATCTTCTCAATTACCTAATCTATTATTATGTATGAAAAAACTATATTCAGGAATGAGATTCACTATGAATCTGTGTTCGGAGCTCGCGGATCTAAAGATATGAACCGTTTAAGAGGGAGAGAGAGAGAGATCCGAAACCGTTCAATATTTTGAGTTTTGTGAAGTGGGGCCAGTGAGATGGGCTAATGAGATTTAATAAAAAAAAAATAAAAAAAATAAAAAAATAAAAAACCCAGTTCGGCAACAAAACTGCTCATGCCAATAATGAAAAAGAAGCCTAGCTAATGGGGACCATACAATCCCTATATTCAAACTTGAGTGCAAGAGAGCAAACATATTGCTCTAACTAACTGACCTAATCACATACAATAACCATTATGTTTGATGAAAAAATTTAAGATTAATAAGAAATTTAAAAATAATGGAAACTGAAATGACCAGATTTTATTTTATAGAATTTGTTAATTTTCTTGTTTAGTTAAACTAAAAGAATAATGAAATTAAATACGAAATTTGTTATTTTTAAACTCTCAATCATAAAAATTAGGAAAATAACACATATTTAGATAGAATTTAAACTTAGAAATTGGAGGTCCCAAATTCCAAATTTTTTTTTTCCATGCGAAACAAAAGAGTTTGTGCATGTCAATTTATAAATTATAACTTTTATTCAAATTCTAAGTTTATTTCTTTCGTCAAAACATAGTACTCAATCAGCCCAATTCAACCTAACTGACCCAACCCACTCAATCCAACTCACAACGTCGTCGTTTCGCGCTCTCATTTTTCTCGTCAACCGAAACTTCAGAATTTTACCTCCGCCGCAGAGGGCAGTGGTCGTCTCTCTGCTCCTTAAACCCCCAAATGGGTTTTCTCAGAAGAGCTTCCAGAACCCTAAAACCCTCCAAGTACTCGTCTTTTCTGCAGAACAGCTCGCTCTCCAGAATTTACAGAAGCAACCCACTTCGAAACGACTTCGATTACTGCCGTTTCGGTCTGAGCCATGGATTTTGCTCCCACTCTCGCCAAAACAGCAAAGAGAACGGCGTGGATTTGAGCCAGTATCCGACGGAGAGGATTCGGAACTTCTCGATAATCGCGCATGTAGATCACGGCAAGTCTACTCTCGCCGACAGGCTTTTGGAGCTCACCGGGACTATCAAGAGAGGCCATGGCCAGCCCCAGTACCTCGACAAATTGCAGGTAGAAAACCAATCTCTTTAGAGAGAGAGAGAGAGAGAGAGAGAGAGAATGAAGAGAGAGAAAGTGAGAGATGGGCTTTCTTTGGAATGTTTTTTGGTACATGGGATTGCATTTGAAGCTCTTTTCATAGTTCAGGGGAGAGAGAGAGAGAGAGAGAGATAGAGAGTTTGGTAGATGGGATTGGTTTTCTGCCTCTATGAGTATGTTAGTTTTGTTTACTTGCAATTTTTGTGCATAAAGTTAGTGTTTTTATTTGTTCATTCATCTGTTTGGTTGCATTGAAGCTCTTGTCATTGCCGTAGTTCAGGAACAAGGTGCATTTGCAGTTAATTTTGGTTTATAGCTCAGGTTGCCGATTTTCGTTGTGTAAAATATCTTATATTTTTGTTTCTAGTTTATATGGCAGTCATTTTGATTTGGGGTTTATTAGGTGGAGAGAGAAAGGGGAATTACTGTTAAGGCACAGACAGCTACCATGTTCTACAACTACAAGCAGAGTCTTAACGGTGCGAACGACAACAATGGAGACCAAAAAGAACAGTGCTTTTTGTTGAATCTGATTGACACGCCTGGTCATGTGGATTTTAGCTATGAAGTATCAAGATCTCTAGCTGCTTGCCAGGGTGCCCTTTTGGTTGTTGATGCTGCACAGGGTGTTCAAGCACAAACTGTTGCAAACTTCTATCTTGCCTATGAATCTAACCTGGCAATAATACCTGTTATTAACAAGATTGACCAGCCAACTGCTGATCCTGATCGTGTTAAAGCTCAACTAAAATCAATGTTTGATCTTGACGCCAGTGATGCTCTTTTAACATCAGCCAAAACAGGCCAGGGTCTTGAGCAAGTCCTTCCTGCAGTCATAGAACGCATTCCACCGCCTCCTGGGAAGAGTGGTTCACCTTTACGTATGCTTTTACTGGATTCATACTACGATGAATATAAAGGAGTTATATGCCATGTTGCAGTTGTTGATGGCATGCTGCGCAAGGGGGACAAAATTTTATCTGTCGCAACTGGCCAAGGTTATGAAATTTTGGATGTCGGGTTCATGCATCCTGAGCTAACTCCTACAGGAGTTCTTCATACTGGACAAGTGGGGTATGTAGTTACTGGCATGCGCTCGACCAAAGAGGCACGAATTGGAGACACACTATATCATAATCGAACCATTGTTGAGCCCCTTCCAGGTAAATGCATCACATTCTTTTGCTGCACCAGTAGGTGGTTTCATTTCCCGCATCTCCTTTAATGGAAGAAATAGTAGCTCCAGAAGGAATGTCAAGACCTAGCTCACTTTTATTGTCACTGATGGTGGTCAACTTGTAGGGTTCAAGGCTGCAAAACATATGGTATTCTCTGGTGTTTACCCTGCTGATGGATCTGATTTTGAAGCACTCAACCATGCAATTGAGAGACTGACCTGCAATGATGCCAGTGTGGCTGTTGTCAAGGAGAGTAGCACAGCACTAGGTATGGGTTTTAGGTATGGATTTACTACTAATAGCTTTTCATTTTAACTTCAAAATTAAGGATTTGGCTTCTACCACAGCTTTGTATTCAATAAGTTTCATACGAAGTAGACATGTTATGCTTACCGTGTCCATCTACAGGTGTGGTTTCTTAGGATTACTCCACATGGATGTTTTTCACCAGCGTCTTGAACAGGTGATGGTTTTAGTTTCTGTAATATGTTATAAAAATTTTCTTAATGGAGGTATCAGTTATGTGCGAGAACAATATAAATTTTTTCTTCCCTTTATTTGTGGGAAAAACAAATCAAAACCACAAGATACTTTTCTTAGTTCATCAGAATGGAAAGTATATTAACTTTTTATCCTAATAATTTTGTCAAGAAAAAAGGAATCGTCATTACTTTGTGATTTGCTTGTTTCACAATTTTCTTATAGTGATTGACAAAATAAGAATTCATGTCTCTTTTATGGATAATAGGAGCATGGAGCTCATGTTATTGCTACCATTCCAACTGTTCCTTATATTTTTGAGTATTCTGATGGAAGGTATGTATTTAATGTTATTCTTGTAAGATTGTCTTCTTATATGGTTTACCAAATAATGTTGGTTCTGGTCTAGCAAACTAGAAGTTCAGAATCCTGCCACATTGCCCTCAAACCCCAAGCAACGAGTAACAGCTTGTTGGGAACCTACAGTTCTAGCTACCATCATTATTCCTAGTGAGTAAGCTCTCGCACACCCTTAGCATGTTTTTTCCCCTCTCAACACTGAGAGGTATTTATTCATCCAGACTCCAGAAGTAATTTGTTCTGCAATTGAAGGTATGTGGGGCCTGTCATCACCCTTTGCTCTGAGCGGAGAGGTGAGCAGTTGGAGTATTCGTTCATAGACAGGTAATTCTTCAATAATCATTGGGCCAAATTGGCCCTATTGTTTTGGAGGGGTTTCACCTTCAAGCATCACGTTTACTTCACTACTCATATTTTGTTAAAGTGGATTTGTGTTTTCTCAGTGATGTTCTGAACTCATCTCTAATTGAGATGCTGATTCTGTGTAGTTTGATGCATGCAGTCTACGAGTCTTTATGAAATATCGCTTGCCTCTAAGGGAAATTGTTGTCGACTTTTACAATGAATTGAAGAGTATTACATCAGGATATGCATCATTTGATTACGAGGATGCAGAGTAAGTTTCAGCCCACGCCTCTCTTTCTCTATTTGGTTGATCCTCCTAGCGTAAAAGCTTGGTAGAATCAAGTCCTGCTCTTGATGTTTTAAACTCAAAGAACAAACCGGAGCAATTTGCATTATTTTGTTATAATTTAGTTTAAACCTTATGCTTGCCTGCCTTTGTTTAATTCATGACTCATTAGGTGTATAGACGAGACGACTGTTGTTTTTTCATTTTATTTTATATGTACTGATGCAAATTTTTCGTTGAATGTAAAATATAGGTACCAACAATCTGATATGATCAAACTTGATATCCTTTTGAATGGACAACCGGTTGATGCAATGGCAACAATTGTTCATAACTTGAAGGCACAACGCGTTGGTCGAGAATTGGTGGAGAAGCTGAAGAAACACATAGACAGGTCTGTTTATCTATAGACTATACTAAATGGTAATTTCTGAATAATTTTTTGTTTGATTCTTAAGCAACTCAAAGTCTTGATTTGGAGCAGGCAAATGTTTGAGATAACAGTACAAGCTGCAATTGGCTCGAAGATTATTGCAAGAGAGACGTAAGTACTTGAAATTTTTGTCTGTCATGTGGTACATCTTGAAACATTTACCGTTGACCTAAACTTCTCTGTGTGTTTTTGTAGGATTTCTGCTATGAGGAAAAATGTTCTTGCCAAGTGTTATGGTGGAGATGTTAGTCGAAAGAAGAAGCTGTTAGAAAAGCAAAAGGAAGGGAAGAAACGAATGAAGCGTGTTGGTTCTGTTGATATACCTCAGGAGGCATTTCATGATCTGCTTAAGAGTTCATAGAAAGAAGTCCAAAATAATAACGTATGTCTGTAACTGCCTAATTGGTAATTACCATTTCTCCTTTCATGCTCCTTTGCCATTAGTATATTGGTATATTGTCAAATTTACAAGTTGCACTTGCACAGTGACACTTCGACAGCTCAGTGGCTAATCCGCCCCTTGTTGTTTTGGCTGTCAGAAGAACGATTGTTTTGCTAACCTCGACAGTGAAGAAATAACTAAGGAAGATGGCCGTCTCAAGGGGGACGTCTCATGATTTACGGAAGGTTCAAGGTAGAGAAAATGTCACTTGTGCAATCGTTTTGTCCTCCTAACGGATCACGCAGAATGGAGTTGTAATACATTAATGTTATAGATGCTGATCAAATAACAATGACTTTGTGGTTATTTGGTGGGAGTTGAAAGCTTATATTGAAAAAGAACCCTCTCGGAATGGAAATTTCTGAATTTTTGGAGTTCAATGCTGATCTTGCGATGCATATGCATAAGATGCCTTTTATTCCATAGGTCGTTTGCCCTTTATGTTTTGCTACACTTAAATATTCATTGCAACAAATGCGTGTTTTTGGAGGTGTATTGTGTTGCTCGACTGTCAATCTGAACCATGCAATTGAACAACAGTTTACTTGATCAGTGGTCAAGATTGATAGTTTGTCAACACATCTGCGACTCTCCAGCAGCAAAAAGGAAAAATTTAGAAGTTTTCTATCCCTGATTGCAGAGGTAGATTTACTCATTGAAATGGTAGTTGAAGGTGCAGAAGCATCAAGTTTCACTTCTGAGAAGTAAACTGATGAGCAGCTTCACCCCAATTCAAGTGTTGATTCTTTCGCCACCCTCGCCTTGGCTCCTATGAGTGGCACCTCCGCCACTTCCGACCAATGATGAAAGTGCTACTGCAACTACCGACTTGAAATTCGGGTCGGACGTGATTGCCTTGGTTAATGATTCTGTCAAAGACACCTGGGAAGAAGCTTGGTGGATCTTTTCTGCATAATTTTGGTGGAAATACTCTTGCAATGGCTTTCCAAGATTGAAGGATCCAACTTGGGCTTTGTCGAACGGCGGCAAGCCATGTTTAAGGTATCCATTGTCCCAACGTGTGGGGAATATGTTGGAATCTGACGGGGAACAAAAGCTTAGACTTGAAGGAAATGTGCTAGAAGAGGGTGGAGAGGCAGTGAGGTCGAGAGTGATTGTGGGGAGCAAAGGGTGGGAAGATTTGGGCATGTAGAGTTGTGTTCTTGAGTTATCGAAGGCACTAAATTCTGATCCATTGAGTAGGGTGGATGTGGAACCGAAACCCGGGTGAGATGTAGAAGAGCCGGACAATAGCATGGAAGCCGCGGCGGAGGTGGTGGAAGCCAAGTAACTGGCTGTGAATGGAAGTGAGTGGTTGTGAGTTCCTTCATAAGTGGTGATTAAGATGGACATATCCTCATAGCATCTTTGCACCTGACATCATTTACAAGGAGTAACATATTAGCTAATATTTCAAAAAAAGTTTGGTACCACTGCTAAAGGCTACGTAAGGGATCTAAAGCTCAAGTGATTAAGAGCGTTTTAGCCCTCTACACTTAAGACGTTGTGTTTGAAACATCTCACTCGCCAATATCGCTTGTATCAAAAAATAAAAAATACAAACCAAATCTATGAATTAATGACCTGTTTGGACAACTTATGTTTGCAAAAAATTTATTTCATAACGAAGATTAACTAAATCTGCGCACCTGCTTTCTCACAGGGCATGCTGGTGCAACAGTGCACCGATAGTAAGCTCGTGGGCATGGATTTCCTTTTGCAGTCTTCTGTCCATATTTTCTCCATTGGCAACCATCATTCATCTGTGGGAAATCAAGTAAATATATCTATTAGATATTGTATTTCTTATAAGACTATGTTCTAAACTATATAATCTATGGGAAGCATGCACGCTGCTCTAACCACTGGTAGAACTTATGTATGCAGTATAATATTTTTTGTAATGGTAAAAGGCCTAAATCATTGTAACAATATGATGTAGTTAAGTAAGAATCGAAGAAATTATATACCGTTGGGGTATCACATCTAGTTCTCACAGAAACCCTAGCTCGTTTTGCATTGACCAGCGTTGGAGGTTCACCGTCTTCATTTCTCATTGTCTTCGGCGTTTTACTCAATGAAGACGATGCGTCTCCACCTCCAGCTTCTGCACGATCCTTATTAGGTTCCTCCAAACTAGTCTCATTAGAACCTAATCCAAGAGTAAGATTGGCCTTCAAGTTATCTTCGCCATCATCAACCTGTACTAGTTTTGTGAAGTTGCTGCTGGTAGTAGTTTCACGATCACTTGTAGGCTCCCTTGGACTTCTTCCAAGACAAAGAGACAAGAGCTGCTCCGGTTCTTCGATTATTCGATCACCGGCAATATTTACAGCTTTTTTGGAAGCCTCTTGTCTGAGGATGTCGAAAAACCGCAGCTGGAGAGACTGGTAATCCTTCTCCATATGATTTAACGTCATTTTTAACCTAGCGTTTTCTTCTCGCACCTCTCCCATTTCAGCTTTGGCATTATCCAGTTCACTCTCCTATATTGATCATATATAAAACACAATGAAATAATCAGTTGACTGAGAATCAAGAATAAATCAATATATACAAATTAATTTTGAAGAAACTAAGACTACAGCAAAGTTAAATTTAATTAGAAATTAGTAACAATACTATGAACAGTTTCTGAGATGATCAGAAACTGATACATAAAATATAAAATATCAAGAAAGCTAAAAATAAAAGACAGATTTTATTCTAAAGAGTAGAACTTTCGTAGAAAATGATGATCACGTTCAACACAAACCTAATTAAACCATGATTCTAGCTAGGTCAGCTCATGATCTTGATTATGAGAGAACATATATATATATATATATATATATATACAGAAATTAATCGAAAACATCATTAATTTTCAACACAGAGAAGTATGTATAATTGTATACTTGAATTTTAATTACCTTTCTTAAAACCCGACTGTGAACCTCCTGATATCCAACAGATTGATCAACTTTCTTTTCTGCAGATGATCTGCTATTGGAGTTTGGCATTCTCATTGCTTTATACTTAGTAAATCAGGGGTTGCTCTAATAATATTGACGAAATATCTTTCGTAATATATCAGTGGGCCTGTGGCAGATGACTTAATCATAAATATGTGGGGCAAATGACAGATGGGGTTAAGCCATAAATTTCAGACTTGGTATAAAAACAAATTTGAAATCCAGTGATCATCTGTTTGCCCCATTACGCAGGCACGCACAAAATGTCAACTCTCTGCAACCCCATTTCTTTTTTATGAATTTTTCTAGATTAAACAAACAAATTAATTAACAATAAGATTTAATATATAAGTTTCAACATTTTCCACAGTTGATGAACAAATTAATGTGCTTCGAGAGAGCTGAATTTGCGGGCACCGATTGTATTACAGTTCGTCTTTGAAGCTTCGTACGAGGGAGACGTCACATGGACATGGCAAAGAGTCAAGGTATAGGAATTTTAAGTATTTGGGTGTGAGTCGTGTGACCTTCTAGTATTGATGCTGCAGAGTGTAGCCTCTATATATATTATAACCTAATATATATTCGTTGTCAGCAGTCAATACGCTTGTCATACACGGTGTGAGACGTGAGACATCTTTTTTATGTCGAAAGTGAGACTTGAGACTTCACTCATCTAAATTTCCATTGCATTGACCTATTTGGGTTGTATATATGTTAGGGAAACTTAAACGAAGGTTGATAAGTCGTCGATAATAATGGTAACAATACATTTTCTTTGTTGAGCAGGAGAGATTGGTAAATTGATAATAGTTATATATTATATTGTATAGTAAACATTTCAAACTACATTATCGATATAAAATTCATGTTTCACAAAAATAGACATCATATAATGAGATATCCATAATTTTGATAGCATATATACACCATGCGTACTACCATGCCTGATTTACTAGCTATCAGATTTGCAACGACACAACATATATTTCATTGGTTCTTAAGATATATACATAAATTTGATCAAATAAAAACTTAATATATTAATCGCATGCGTATCCTATATCTAATGTATATAAGTACTTTCCTGTGAGGTGAGAAGCCGTTTAATTCCATGTAGCTTCTAATAACTAATCTTGCATAATGATTATGTTAAACTAAGCTTAAAAACCTACCTCTTTCGACTTATTATCTGGGGATCTGAGTACCAGGAATACTTATATTTGGTTTGGGTCTACGCATACAAATCTCATCCATTGAAAATTGACATATAAGTGAATATTATATGAGTGTGATCTTTTGAATCTCTAACCCTGAAAAATATTATATTAATTTCAGGCCCATGTTTCATACACCACTTTTTGAGTTCGATTTCTAACGCTGATGAATCATATAATGGTGGCCAAAGAGACGCTGAAATGTCTATGTGAGTCTTTCCAGCACCCGGAAAAATAGACTACCGTGGCTAAACTACCAACTGATCACCTTTTTATTAAAACAAAAAAACAAAAAAAATTATATTGATCTTTTGAAACTATAAGATGACTGTTGTATTAAAAATTAAACCGATCGTTATGGTTGATCTTAAATAATCAAATAGTGAAGCTTATCTGAAACCAAATTATGTTTGTACACACATGACTCTGAGGCTTTGTATTTATTGCACACATTAACTATATTGTTATCAGATCCTATCTACACTATATATCTGCTGAATACATATGACTCTGAGAGGATTCTAAATATTTAAGGATTTCTTAACTAACGATAATAGATTTTTTAGGTCATTTGGGTAATCAGCAGTGCGAGCCATTTCACACCTTCAAAATGGAAAAAATATCAATCGTGCATGTGAGCTTTTCATCTCAAGGTTAATTTAATAATTTCAATGATTTGAAATTTGAACTACCCAAAAGGGAAAATTCTCTTCAATGGAAGGCCATTTCTTACCTCCTAAAATTAAGATTTTTAAAGTATAACTAAACTTTCACAGTGAAGACATAACCTTCTCACTTGGACCTTGTTTTACTTTCTCGACTATTCTTTTCGTCTCTGGAATTTTGCTTGATGATTGGAACTTTGTTATTTGCAGTCAAAGATCAACGGTGTAAAAAATCAACCAAGTAATTTTTTTTTTTTTTAACCATTCAATTAATCTTGGCAAAATTTCAGTGCTTAATCGGGTAACTGTTTAGATGACTAATGACACACCCCGACAGAAATTAAGGCGTGCTGACCGTCACGTGAGGGTGACGTAGCCATGTGCACAGTGCGGAAGCATAAATAATATAAGAAAAGTGAATAAATAAAAACCAAACCACTAGCAGTACTATCTAAGATAACATGCTAGTGTGAGATTAAATGCGATAAACACAACCAGAGCATAAGTAGTCTAAGTGCAGTCCAGCAAGACGAATACTAATTATACAACACCTAAAGGTGATCCTACATTTGTGTTGTTCTATCAGAACCACCGCCGAGATCCCCATGAGCCACCAAAGCACTTCTACCTAAAATCTGGAGGGGCACAAAATAGAAAGTGTGAGTGGGTAAAAACAAAGCTTTTCAAAATCATTTCATTCTCAAAAGTTCTAACCCCTCGCCGTAAAACCTGTATAATATCCCAGAAAATAGAATATATACATACCACAACCATGCTCAGAATAACAAAATTCACAAATATGCCATGTCAAATATCTCAACATAAAATATGTAAACCCGGTGATATAAATCAATGCAAATGGTACGTCAGCCGGAGTCACCTAACGTGACCTGTATGGCGTAAATCCACATCTCAACAAATATACATGCACACGAGTCGGAACCATCTAAAGTGGTCTGTACGATAGGACTGGGTATAAATAATTACGCTCAAGTGCTATGATCACGTGAAGACTGTGCGAATAATCATGGGTCACCTATGAGTCGAAACCACCTATAGTGGTATGTACGACAGGACTGTGCACCTAACTTGGATCCAAGGTGAGCGTATGGTGCAGGAGATGAACATCATATGAAGGACTGTGCCCAAACTCTGGGCAGGAGCACTAACATCGGGGTGCAGGTTTATGAGCTCTCAACGCATCTCACATAATCATCAATTCACATAAACAATCTACAACTCACCTGGTACTTACCTGAGTGTCCACCACGTCACATCACAATATACACATATCATACAAATTCATAGTATAAGTATAAATCAATAGGCATGGCATTTGAAACATAATTTCATTTAAATCGATTATCTGGGAAAAAACTCAAGTATATAGGTATATACCGAAAACCAAAAGCCCACTCACTGATATGTCGAAGGATCGTAGCCCCCGAGCCTCGATTGAATACGCTCGTTCTCAGGATAGGTCTCACCTCTATGCGAAACAACTATACAAACATCAATTTAATGCACATAAACAAAACTAGGTAACAACTTCTCATACAATGCTCAAATGGGGTGTTTGAATATACCAACATGATCTACTCAACACCACGAACATCCCCATATTTTTAGAAAAATTTTCCGACCACCCACGCGCCGGCCACGCGCAGGCACGTGCTTGGCTCACGTATGGAAACCCTAACGGCGTTAGGGAATATTCCGTCCAAAAATGGAATATATCGTTAAATATACCTCACGTCGTTAGTATATTCCGTCAAAGTTGACAGAATATTCTTCGTTTTCTTCGATGATCCTCGCTGGAGCTGCCGTCGGCCGCCATCTGCGTCGCTGGAAACTGGAAAAACTTCAAAGCTTAATATCTTCTTCATTTCTCAACCAAAATCCATGAAATTTGTACCAAAATGAAGCTTATGATGCGAGGAACAAAACCTTACCACTTTCAGGACCTAAATCTCACTAAAACTCGTCGGAAAAACTTTGAAACTCCGGCCACCTCTACAACTCTTCGAACCAGGACTTCCTGACGTCTAAAACACTTCATTTTTCTTCTCCGAGCTTCATGAAGATGTTCTAAAGCTTCCTAGAAACTTAAAAACTTCACAATCATGATTGCATGAACAGTACCCAAATCGGAGCTCTCGAGAAACTAGGGTTTTCGAAGGTTTCACGTCCAACCAAAGGTATAGATCGCCTCCTCAGCTTGCAAGGAGTCCAAAAACACCAACAACGATCTCAATCTGCGATTGGAAGGGTTGGTTTGAGGTTTGTCTGTACGGTTGTACGGAAATGGAAGAAAATCCGATAGAGAGAGAGAGTCAACGGGAAAGGGTTTGTGTGTATGTGATGACCAGCTGAGTCACCAACCAAAAACAAATTAAAAAAAAACTTAGTTCCAATTGGTCCAATTCCTTAACCCCATACACACACACACCACCACCACCAAACGTTAAGGGTAAATTAGTCATTTCACATCATCGATAATATAATTTGGGATGGGCTGTGACAACTAAAGGATTTCCAACTTAGTTAATTGTTTGCCGAGATAATTTTTAAAATGTGACATAGAAAATGAACATTTAAGGTCATCATAAGAACGAAAGTCAAGAAAGTAGAATGAGAAAATTCACATAAGAAAGCTGCTAACATACAAGGCATACAAGTCGTCATAGCATACAAGGCATGGTGTCACCAACTTTGAGATAACGTAAGAAGCCATTCACCCCCTTAGTTAACTTTAAACAATTTAGTTTGAGAAGGAAAGGGAAAGGAATATAATGGAGGCAACTCTTCAAGGTGTTTAGGTATGTCGTGGATTAATTGGGTCTTGAAACAACACAAAAATCGGTTTGTCAGTTTGCTCTGCCTCGTTAAAACGTTTCAATTGTACGGCCATGAAAGATGTAAAAATGGAACGCCAACATGTATATATACTAATATTACGTGTGTGGGTGTGTGTATGTGTGTGTATATATATATATATATATATATATATATATAAACTGATAGTCTTGCACATAAGGGAACTAATTAGGGAAGCATGAAGTTTACTGGCCCTTGCATATATAGTTGACTCTGTAAAATATAGACTGAAGACTGAAGAGAGAGAGAGAGAGAGAGAGAGAGGTGCTGGTTTATTAATTTATTTGCACTAGGTTGTCAAGACATAAGATTTTTTAAAGCAGATATATTGGAAGAGACTTAAAGGCCATGTGGTGCTTATTATAATCAACTAGGTCAATGCTCTCAATTAGCAAGATAGCCATCTTGAATTAATAAATTAAGTTCTGATTTAATATTAATCTGCATTTTTGTATTCCATATGCATTGCCTAAGCAACTGATTAATTTCATTAAGAATGGAGCTTTGTATATTATCTGGTTTGGTGAACATTTGAACATGTTATATAAGTTGGATCGTTGATGATGCTATATATATATATGTGTGTGTGTGTGTGTGTGTGTGATGGAAGGTAGTAAACTTAATTAATAATAAATTAGCTATGTTTACTAACTGTAAGAGCACCTAATGTTATGGGTGTATATAGGGATGTATAAAACGTGGGAAGTGCTAGCAATTTTTGAACCAACCTTTGAATATGGACCTTATATATATGTATATATATGTGATGGAAGGTATTAAACTTAATTAATAATAAATTAGCTATGTTTATTAACTGTAAGAGCACCTCATGTTATGGGTGTATATAGGGATGTGTAAAACATGGGAAGTGCTAGCAATTTTTGAACCAACCTTTGTAAATGGTCCTTTCCAACAAAAGACATGTATCGTTTTTTACACATAAAAATAAGAGCAACAATATTTTTGGCTAGGAATTAAAGATGGAAAATGGAAAATAGAAAATAATATTTTAAAAGCTAAAAATGTCAAACGATAGAGTGATATTTCACTATCACAAACAAATATGGGTGCATTTTGAAGAAAGTTGAGGTTTCACCATAAAACTAATTGATAATATGAAATAAGTAGTCCAACCTCTTATAAACCCTTGCATAGTTTTGTCTCCAACCGATGTGGGACTTTGTCCTCACATTCTCACACGTTTTGGCTTACCACCCTACTTATTATCATTTGATGAGTTTAAATTTTAAGATATATATATGTCTATTCACCATATAGATATCTAAATTTAAACTCATCCAATAGTCATAAATAGGGTAGGGAGCAAAAATATTGCCAACAAATACAAATTTGCAATTTGATACATTACTCCAGTGATAAAAAAAAAAAAAAAAAATTTGTTATTAGCACTCCAAAAATCTCATTCCACACTCTAAATTTTCTATATTAGGAAAGAAATACACTTGTGAGGAGTGTAGAATGAGATTTTTAGAGTGTTAATAACAATTCCCTAAAAAAATGATCTTAAGTGAATTTGTACAAACAAACAACTTTAGTAAAATTTTGACACGTGTCATTTGTTAAAGTAAAAAAATTCAAATACAAAAATTAGTGCAAAGGTTACAAACATTTCTCAAAACACATTATACATCTTTCATTGATCGAAAAGCTCTTCAAAGGACAATTTTAAGACTTGTAAAATATTCACTTAGGGCTAAAACTATGTGAGCCCGTGAAAACAAGGAGAGAAGAAAACTATCACGTAAACTAAGCAGCTATCTCATGAAATCTAAATTTACATTTCCTCAAATAAAGCAAAACTCACATTTGCATTTCCATAAATGTAATAAGATGTGAATGTATAATTTTAAGTTTTAACATTTCAAATGGTAGAGATTCTCGAGTAGCAGGGGCATGAATTGAATTGAGGAAGAGTCCAACTCCACCAACTTCAAGAGTTGAATTCATGGTATTGTTTTTTATTTTCACATAGTCAGGTAAGTTTTTATGGACAACTGGATAGTTCGACATTATATTTATTAGATTGAAAAGTGAATAAAAATAGTATTTCTTTAATTCAATCTTGATTGTTTATTTTTTGTACTACTGAGTAGACCAGACTATTAAAGAAAAATTGCACTTGATCATTAAGCAATAGAGTAACCCGTAATAACAAATCAATCCTTATTTTAATTTCAATTACGAATTAGTTTATAAATATTTGAACCCTGTTAGTTTTTCCTCTTGCTAATAATTGGGTATATTAGAAAAGTTAATAGATTTTGTATCTGGTCTAGTATTGTGGGTTAGACGGTGAATTGAAATGGGGATATCACCTTAGCAAGTTGGCAACCCGTGTATAGCCGACTTGGTTGAAAACCTGCGAAGTGTGAATCCATTGGGCCCAAATGCATGCAGCAACATCCCTATAAAGTCAAAACTCGTGCGCGTAATTGCAGTGTTTTTTTATTTTTCCTTTTTTTTTACAACTACGGAGGGCGCGGAAGATTTGAACCCGAAACTCAATCAATGAATTTTAAATGCCCTTACAGCTTGCTAATGGCAATGTTTCTTCTTAACTCATATGGTAGTACTGCCAAGCTTAATCAATCGAAATCTATATATATATCATATACTGCTAACTGCAGGAATCTTCGTATGCTTCCCTCCATGGGCACTTTGTACTTTGTTAATAAAGTAATATTCTCAAAGAAACTTCCGAGTCATTGCAGACAGGTAACCTACTTTTGATATCATCACGAGCCTAAGTGACGCACTCGCAAACTTACAAACCCTACAATATACATGCCTAACCTAATCTTGGCGGCACACCCACCCCAACCCCAAGGGCACGCACAGGTTGCATTGCATGCAAGTAAACAGTATGTGTATGTGAGAGAGAGAGAGAGAGAAAGAGAGAGAGAGAGAGAATGTAAACAAAGTTAATTTGCAGCAGCTCAACAAAACAAGAAATATCATCTTTCTGGCTTTGTAATTACTAGCTAGCTAATTAGTAATTTAGTATGGAAATTAACCTGTTTAAATCACGTTACTACTCCTGGTAATTAGTAACAGATAAAAGGGTAAATATATGTGCAAGACATGCATGCAGATGCAGCTCTCTCCCCTCTGGTTGTGCCGATCCCCACGGAAACACGTCACAGCTGCCTGCTTTGTGCTTGTTTTTCTTGAAGCTGTCACCAAAGCCAGAGACATGTCCCCATGTCCCAATCTTCAAAGGGCACGTACGCCAAACCAGACCCATCACAGATCATCTCCATCATCATGTCGTCTTGTCCCATTGATGATATATGATCATGCGTATTCATATGACCCACGCCAAACCAACGCCCTCACTTTTCAGCTCAACTATCGTTTACCACATATATTAATCACACGTCACGTTGACTAGCCCATAGTTTCGCAGAAAGACTTACCTACACCGAATACTACAACATAACATAAACTTACTTACATTAGATACTCTTAAAGTACACAAGAGAGATTTATCTCCACTAAATATAACATTATGACGTCATATCAAACTAATAACACAATGTCATTGAAAACCACGACATCAAGCATGATTAGTTTGAAATATTGTCAAACCTAGTTTATAAATTAGATTTCAGTTTAACTTTCACCAATTCCGTGGTAATTTCTCGAACGGGTACTATAGCGTCTAGGGTACATATAAGTCTCTCAAGCACACCCCCTATAAGCTTACCTACACTCTCTACAAGCTACTGGCTAGCCTGGTGACACGATAAATTCCAAGGTAAGAACTTTACCCCTCTGTGATCGCGCACAGAAAAATCTCTCAGATGACACGCATTCATTTTCCTCTTACAGACGACAAAAAAACAAATCCCAACCACATTTCTCCTTTCATGACATCAAGGAAAACTACAGAGCTTCAGATTTGGACTTCAACAGAAAATTGCATAATCTCTGACTGGAAAATGAAGAATAATATCATCATAAATTAACCATGTAAATATTGAGGGGGGAGAGAGAGAGAGAGAGAGAGAGAGAGAGAGAGAAGGGTATGTAAAACTTAAAAAGCAATTTATGAAAAGAGTGCTAATGCACTTTTATCCACTAATTTCCAGTGCAAATAACACTTCTCTTCTTTTTCTTGCTTTTTTTTTTTTTTTTTTTTTTTTTTTTTTAAGGTATGTACATTAACTGTAGAAAGAAGAAAAAAAAGGGCACCAGGTGCCTCCTCATGTCCCACAGGGAAAGAAGAAAAAAAAGAACAAAACAAAGAGAAAAAAAACAACATAACGAAACAAAAGCACTACTATTGCTGCACTGAATTGAGCAGCAGCCACTGATGACATCAATGAAAGCGACAGGACAGTGATGCGGCGGCAGATGGATGAATGGGGAAAACGGTATGGCGATGCAGACAGCTGAAATGGGAATGAGGATGGAGATATAGATAAATGGATTGGTGAGATCATCAATTCTCCTGTATTTTTGGGCCTCTGTACATGGCTCCATGTACAGCTAAGTCCTCAGGTTTCTCTATATCTTCAAGCCAAGCATAGCCTTCTTTCTCATCTTCCGGCACCGATACTCCCCCATCTGAAATTCAAAAACAGAACCGTCATCGAGATTTCTCAAAGTTCTAACAAGCTGCGCTCTTGGTTTTGGAGTTGGAATGGAAGATCTAACCAAATTGATACCTGGGAAGCGAGAGAATGGGTAATCAAGGTAGTATTGACAGTGCCTGCCGTCGGGATCAGAATATGGGGGGCCAAGCACATCGAGCACTGCACATGCTGTCACTGCTGTGAAGCAATGCATGTTGCCTCCATCAGCTGGATAGAGGATGGATGGTTCGCAAGGAGCAGTGAAATCGGCGTCAACCTTAACTTTAGCCAGATGAACACCGGGCGGTGCAACTGCATGAACGAAAGCACATCAAACTGTTAATTTTGTGTACGAATAAAATAGTTTCACAACGGAAGGACCTCGTGACTTCACGAAAAATTTTAGAACAAAATGTCAAGCAGTAAAGGTCATAACCATGAATCTATCGTCTATAAGTTCGAGATGAAACAAGCAAATTACTATTTTCCTAACAGACAAAAGATCAAAAAGGCCGGTAGATTTCTCATCAAGTCCCACAGATTATCTCAAGGAAGATGCAATACAATGCAATAACATTTAACAAGAAAGGTCACATTGTGCCTTTGCTATAGAGAAAAACTTGTGCAAGGGCTCCGGACCACATCATCCATAGGAAAGCTCTCACTAAAGCATGCAACCCTGGCCGCATTTGACCCCACGTTGGTCCCACCCAAACTACAAGGTCCTGGGTGCGGCACTAGGAGTTGAGTGTGCACTTACTACTTTCTATACAAATGTTAAGAAATAGTACAATTTTTCAAGGGAAGAATTTACCTAGTGAAGGGTTCGCGCTTGCCAATGTTTTCTCCGGGGCACCAGCCACCCAATCGTAGGACTTGATGTGCATCGTCCCAAACAGAAGCTTACTGAAAACCGTCATTCCCGGGTGATTATGAAGCGGTAAGACACCCGAAGGCGGCAAGCAAAATATCCCCATCTGCATATAGGTAACACATTATAAGAACAAAAGCCACGCTGACTGATTTCGCTTTGTAAATTGCGGGAATGAACCTGGAAGAAACTTACTGAAAATTTTTCGCACTCGTAAAGATGCAGGTATGTTATAACCGGGCTTCGTCTAGCTACCGTCATCCTGAAGTACGGCAAATCGGGAGTGAGGCCGACATCAGCAGGGTTCATGGCATCTGGCATCAAAACAACCAAACCCAATAAGCCACAATGGGGAATCAATTCGAAAAAGGAAAGAAAAACGATTGCAAATAACACTATCACGGACTATTTTCTCTCAAAATCCTGAATTAAACACGGTTGAATGCAACTAATATTCCATTTGTGTAACCAAAACAGTATCCAGATGTAAAGAAATGAACCGATGCAGATAAGGATGACCCCCCTCTGGCATGAAAAACGAGATCAAATCTTCTAACGTCTATCATTAATTGACACGTGTTATGTGACAAAAAAAATTTTATACAGTAAATTGATCACCAACCCGAAAAGATATATATACATATAGATGCATGTATACAGCCGCAAAACTGAAATGCCCGAAAAGACATATATACATATAGATGCATGTATACAGCTGGAAAACTGAAATGCTCGAAAAGACATACATACATATAGATGCATGTATACAGCCACAAAACTGAAATGCATGTATCAAATGCAAGGACACGGATTGATAAAATTATCTAAATTTTTTTTTTGGAAAAAATAAAACAAAAAGGCACCGGCCGATAACAGACAACGTACAAGATAATGCAAATTCAACACAGAAGACTGATACAAACATGTGAAATGGTAAAATGGACTCTAATTTTATAAAATTTTGCATCTATAATTCAATACGATTTTCTAAATTCATTAAAAAAGAACCAAAATTGAGCTTTAATTCAATCAACTTATGAAATTCTGAGACATTAATTAGAGCAAGAACATAAATTTGAATTCATGCAATCATGCAAAGCACAGATAAAAGAATTATACCCAAAACAGAGGATAGCCGTTGGATATCATCAGCGGGGGGAATGACCCCGGCCCCACAAAACGAAAAGACTTCCTTGCAAGTCTCGTACAGCTTCTGAACCGGCGACATCTTCCGCTGACGCCGCCGGCCCTTCCTGGTCTTGCTTTTCGAATTCGTCTCCTCCGCCAATGCCAGAAACTCCTTGCTGCCTTTGCGATTGGGCGCCACCGTTTCAAACCCCATTCACACCCCAAGTTCTACCTTTAATCAAAACACAAAAACCCAATTGAAAGAAATGAAATTTTCGATCTGGGCATTTCAGAAAAACTCAAAAAAATGTAACCTTTCGATCTGGGAACATACCCAATTGAAGAAAAAAATGAGAAATTGGATTGAAACCCAGAAAAAAACAGCCCAGGGGAACAGAGGAGGGGATGAGAGAGAGGGGTTTAGAGAAAAGAGTGGGGAGTGACAATAACAGTTATATTGTACTGGAGAATGATGGGTGGTAAAAGGAGGACATCGATGTGAAATTTGGCAGCTCTGTTCAAGGAAGAGAAGGGGGGAGCGGGTTGAATGGGTATAAAAGAAGGGGACAAAGGGACTTAGGGCTGAAAGAGAAAGCCGGTTTTGTAAAGATGAGTGAAAACCAGGGGCCATGGTTTTCTTTCCAGTGGGCTGTTCCCAACAGCGGATTTTATCCAGTTCCCTCCTCTCTATCTTTCTTTGTTCTTCCCATGTTGCCCCTCTTTTTCCCAATTTTCACATCTTCAACACTACATATATTCAATTGGATTTTTCTTCTTTCTTTTACTTTTCTTTTTGGTTTTTCTAATTTTCATGTTTTCTTTCTACTATCCAACCTAGTTGTTGATCTTGGGTGGTTTCTGGTTTGCATTGTAGAAAGAGAAGACATATCTCTGGATTTGGGTAATCTAGAATTTGCTTGTATTTCACACCTGTTTTTAAGAGAGCTGACCTTTTATAAGTCGTCATGCATAAACTGCTGCGTCGAACTCTGTAATAAATATGCAGAGTTTTCAAGTTTCTTTCTACCATCTAACATAGATTTTGATACTGGAAATCTGGTTGTGGTTTCTTATTGCCATTGTAGAAAGGGGAAAACTACCTCTGGATTTGGGAAATCCAAATCTGTTTGTATTTTTTCACCTCTTCTTAAGAGAGCTGACTTTTTATAAGTCACCAAACACAGACCCGTTGTGTTGGTTTTGTAATTATTGTGCGCAAAATCATGACACATTAACCAATTCATTAACTTTTCAGAGTATTAACACAACGTGTCAGACGTACTTTCCAATTCTCATATTCGGTGGTTAAACAGTTGCATAATATAGATACGATTTTTTCATATGTCTTTCATAGTTTAAGTACTTCTAATTACGGATGTAAATAAAGGAATATAACTTGTATTAGTGTCAATTTATGACATGGAGTCTTGTGGATAATTCATATATAAGCAAGGTTCTAAACATCTTCGATACTATTGAAATATCCGTAAAATAGGGTTGCTGAAATTTGAAAGTAGGATGAAGCAATATATTTTCATAATTTCATAGGCAAATAGTAATATTGGATATTTATTGAATTTTTTTTTGTGTTTCACTACAATATTTGACAAAATTTTAGTAAAACTTTTTACGTGCGGACAACACTTTGTTGGGTCAAATTATTGTAATAATTATTATAAATTCAAATGTCATAGTAACAGATTCAATAATCCATTCCTTGTGTTAATATGGTATAATATTTACTAATTTTTTTGTCCGGACATACTTACTTATTTTTACTTTTAAAGGAACACAAAAACGGATCTGAATTGTCCACTCCCTTGAGAATGAGCTTAACATTCCTCTAGGTATAAACTGCGTAGTAGATATATAATTTGTTTATCAAAATAAACATATAATTTTATTTAACTTTTATATGAAAGATACTTCTTATTATTACGTATATGTATGCATCTACTTACACGTGAATTTTTGAAAATATTATTTTTGATAAACATTAAGATAATTACACTTAATTCATCTAATTATGGAAAAGATGATTCCAAACTTGAATGCAGAGAAGCACACTACTTTAGCTAGTTTTTTTTTTTATATATATAAATAAATTTGAAACAATATTTTAAATTCAAACAATGCACGACTTAAAAGTTTTTTCTGTTTACAATAGCGTTAGTGGGTTAAATTGTTAGTGGAGATAGAGATCGATAAGAATCGAACCCGTACTAGGATGCACAAACAAAGTTACTTTTCACCATTTAGGTAAAGCTTCACCAGCCACTACCAAAAAGATCAAATGAATAAATGCATTATGCCCATTTTATATAAAATGAGTTAACAAAAAAATAATTTTAATACCAAGGGTGATGATGTAATTTCACTTGAGCACATGAATCACCTGCATGGAAGTTACTAATTTTTTTTTTGTTTTTTTTTTTTGAGTCAGGAAGTTACTAATGTATATTTGACAAAAAAAGAAGTTACTACTGGTATTTATGTTGTGTTTTTGCCAAAAGTGGTATTCTGTTTATACAGTAGATTTGTGTTATATGGTAATTTGATTATATCTTTTCCAAAATCAAAATGATTACTTACCAAAAAGTAAAACATCTGAAATAATATTTTATGTTTATCAGATCTGGTAACTGATACATACTTACTCCAAAAGTTATATATCACATCTAAAGAAAGAAAAATCCTATCTTTTTCCATTATATTTTGTTTTTTTTTTTTTGTCAAATTCCATTATATTTTGTTGATTATGGTAAGATTGAAAAGCAACTAAAGTATACAATTTTTGACACACATTTTTGCCGGCTCATTTCGTATATATTTCAACAATTCGAACCGTTTAAATTTCAGGTTTTCTCTTAAAAAAGTATGTTTATCAAAACTCACCAAAATTTGAAATCATATGACTATTGAATTAAGGATTTAGATTTTTTTTTTGTAAAACTGTATTTGTTCATTTTTTTTCATTACAAATGAATATCTTAATGGTTGTGGATTTGTCTAATTTTTTACAAGGATGACCTATGAATAATGTTATAAAAGGTAGACGATTCAGATCGTTAAAATATAATATAGCATGGGTCTCACAAAAACATGTTTAAAAAGTTGCATAAAAAATGATGTCACAAATATGCACCTTATACAAATATGAATATTTATTAGAGAGTTTTAACGAAACAATCCCGGTATTGTTTACTTTTAACCAAAATGATATTTTTACTCTAAAAAGTCACTCATGATACTATTCATTTACAACACATTTTTATCATTTTGATTAAAACTCAAAGTTTTAAATATTTTTCATTAGTTTTCCTTATTTATTACCTAACTCCAAAAGCTACACCTAAAGAAGAAGAAAAAAGTTCTTTTTGTTGTAAACATTTCTAGTTTAAGGGTGATTATGTAAATCTTAGATTAGATTTGATTTTAATTATCATTTCCTATTGTATCTTGTATTCCTTGGGGATAAAGGAATATCTTATCTCCTTTACTATTATAAATAAAAGCATAATGTAAGAGAAATAACAACACATATATTCTCCTAAATTAAGGATTGAAAGGAGACTCAAGTACACAATTAAATATAATTAATTAGCAATGCCCTCATTTTTCTACACTTTCTAAATTAAGGGATAGATTAGTTTGAACATGTCAGATATGTGTAGAAACTTCCGCTTTGACAATTTCCCCTTTTTTTCTTTGGATATGACAGTATTCAATATCCAAAAATAATCTGTACGTACTCTTTTACTTTCTTCAATAATGATTGTACTCTGGTCTTTTCTTCAAAAATGATATGTGCGTACTTTCTTTATTTTTAATGTAAAATATATAATTGTACTTAAAAAATAAAAATAAAAAGCGAAGTTGGAGAGAGAGAGAGAGAATTTGGGTTTTTTTTTTGGGGAAACTTGATATAAGTTCAATTTTTTGAGCCAATTGTAGAAATAGTCCAGTTTATTAAAATAAGTCCAATTTGTTATATTTAATTATTTAATTATCAATAGTTATTTGTTCAATAATAAGATTTATTATAAAAATCAAATTTCTTCTCAATTATCTCTTTGCTTATTTCTTTTTATTTATCTTTTTGTTATTTCTCATTCTTCCTCCTACTTTGAACCCCATTTATAGATTTTATTTTTAATTTTTATAATCAACCTATATCACAGGTTAATTATATTTATCTACCTATATAACAGATTCTTTTTTTATAATCAACCTGTCACAGATTAATGTGTCTTACTTGTAGGTATGTTATGTTTTTTCTACATTTTAATTAGGTTTCATATCTCACGTATAGGTATTATATACATTCATATATTTGTTACTTGAGTTAGGGTAGAATGTTTTGTAGATAAATTTATGCTAGTATATTCGTTTTTTGTTATAAGATATTAAATATATTCTTTTGGAGTTGGAAAATGCATAATATTAGAAGATTTTAATTGATTTTTAATATTTTTAGAAAATATAAAATGAGTATAAAAGAAATAAAAACAAATAATTAGATAACTGGACTCACTCCTAAAAACACTCTACATTTTTGGACCTGGATCTAAAAGCCCTTTTTTTTTTTATGAAATTAGAGGTGTTATAAACTTATGTCTTATAATGATATGTGGATGAGATCTGAAATTAAAAAAGTAATTTTTGGTCTGTGCGAAATTACAATATTGTCATGATTTGATTTTGTAATCAAATATCAAATTGTTTTTTATCCTCTTTTAATTGATAAATTTTTTTTTGTTAATAAGTAATTTAGATTATACTGTTGTGTCATGCGGCTAATTAAATTAGATATTATAATAGGCTTTTATTCCCCTCACTTACCTATTTTGTTATTATTCATGCATTCATATCAAATCAATTACTTACGCCTTACGGTGACTGAATTAATTAAAAAACAAAACAAAAAAGAATTAATTAAAAAAATATCCAACAAACAAAAGAGAATTAATTAAAAAATAACAAATAACAGTAGAGAATTAATTTAAAAATTACAAAATTAATTTTTTTCGCATTAATCTTTTTGTTAATAAAAGCGGGATATTTTCGCATTCATCTTTGTTGTTAGCAATGTTAGGGTTTGGTGGTGTAACGTGAACGCAGAGAAAGGGTTTGGTGGCGGGTTGAATTGTTGTTGTCGAAAACTAACAGTAATAATCAGCTCTGCAAGAAAATGTTAAAATATACAGACTAGATAATTTTGTACGTTTCAAAAGCCACACCTTTCTCACGACCCAGCAGAAAGTAGAAACAAATTAGAAGAAGAAGAAGAAGAAGAAACAGATGACAGATCAAAACCCAGGTTCCAACCCCGTGAACCTGCAAAGGTGAAGGTGCATGGTAATGCTCGTAGTCTTGGGGAATTATACCTCTGAGTCTCTGACTGTCTGAGTTGTGTTTCTGAAAATGTTTGTGCTAATCTCCAAGGATCATGAGTGTTAACCGAGTTGGGAAAAGTTTTTTCGACAAAAACAAAAAGTCTTTTTTTTAATCTAAAATAGTCACGAATTATGTCAGACATAACTCTTTACTTTAGTCCATGACAAAGAAAATCTATGAAAGTGATTCATAAGTTTGTCCACCGTAAATCATTATGATCATTTCAT